ACGATGGAGACGTCGCTGCTCCACTACTCGCGGAACATGCAGAGAACATTGTTCACTCTGCGCCCGACATGCAATATCAGGGACAACGGCAGACAATTCGAATGCCCGGCGATGACGTGGACGTGGAGGACGACGATGAATATGCACTGCACTTCAATGATGGCCTGGCTACCGCGGATGATTTACTCTACGAGCATGCAAAGAATTATGTCTTCGGCGACTACGCGTACCCTGTTGTGGATGTCAGCTCTGAAGAGGCACGTTATGCGATGTGGGCTGCGGAAGAGAGAATTGTTAGAGAAGGGGTGCACGTCAATGTCCACAGAAATCACATTGGTGCAAGCGGTAACGGGGGCTATGGTGCAACGGGCACCCGGGCTGGTCAAATACGCAAGTACGAGAATGGTAAAGATGAAGTGCTCGCTTCAGAAGATCGTGAGGAAGGTGACAGGAGGGCAGAAGTGAATACATCGAAGAAGCTGAGGTGGTCGAATACCAGAAGTAACGGAGCTCTATCACCGCCAATCTCCGGCTCGTTAAGCTCCTCAGGATCATCATCCCGACATAACTCACAGACGTCTCATGAATCACGCCCGAGACTGCTGTCTGGAAGTAATGTTAACGTTCGCGCATCGTCCCCATATCTTCACTCTTCGCCTTCATACTCGCGATCGAACCTTGGTACTCCATCACCCCGCTTAATTTCTTCTGGATTACATTCCCACCCATCTCCTTCTCATCCTCCACTCGCGGAGCCAGATGCTGTAGACCTTGTTGTGCCAACCGATACGCTCCCGGTGCCCTCAAGCTCGCATGCCGCTCATACTTCTCTGCGCGCCACAGGCTTAAAACGTGTCTGGAGTCAGAAAGGAGATATCCGTGCTGAATCCACCGTTAGGTTAGAAGAAGAAATTAATGATCGTCGCGTCGTCTCCAATGAAGTCGACAAGGAGTATGATATACGGAAGGAGGAACTTAATGTTCCGGAGAGGTACGAGCCAGAGGAAATAGTACGCCCTCAGACGCCGCCCCCACACGCACGAGCTTGGACCTATGGTACCAAGAGTCCAGGGGAGGACGAAGAGAATCCGTGGATGTGAAATTATGATCAAAGGACTCAGATGCTCGACATGCATGGCAAAATACCCTCTCATATACATAACTTATTCACGTTGTATAACATTCGTGTAGCTTTCTGTTGATTATCAAGGGATTTCTTTCAAAAGTCAGTTGCCGATAGGCTTGGTGAGATTTGTGTCTTTGAATTTGCTGCGGCGGTGTTTACTCCGCTGTACAGCCTTAGAACATGTAGCAAAATGTGGCTATGCCAATGCGAGTTGTGGCTATCCCATGCACCACTGGCACTAAGCACTTCACGCGCAATTTCCCCTCTCTCTTCCGCAAGGCCGCCAAGGTTTACTCACGACGACTACCTAACATAATTACCACAACGAACCATGTTCAAGACGGCAGCGGCAAAAATTGCCCATAATTCTACGATTCCAGCACTTGCGGGTAATAGCGACCTTAGACAGTTTCAGGATCTCATTAACGCGGAGAAGGTTGTTCTGGTCTCGTGAGTGTGCTTTAGACACTTAAATACGCTGTTAATGTTCTTGTCGCATCATTAAACAGAACTCAGAGACTAGGCGTTGATATAACCAAAGCCGCGGAGTCCCTCAGGGCGTGGGGGGTTGGTGAGGGTGATGATCTCGCTGTGAGTGAAACTTCTGTCTGGGTGTGCGTGGTGCAGTTGCACTTCTTTCCATAACGTTCACGCAAAGCTTCATGGGATGCCTCGCATGTTCTGTGACGTTCAATGACGTATAGACGAGTTCCTTATCTTGGCTTGTGGAGCCAGATACAATATATACCTACATGACTTGACGGAGTATTTCATCCAAGACCAATGGCTCTATGTGCACCCGCCATGTTTTGTTATCTGCCTTCTGACAAAGACACTGTAGGATATCCTCAGTGCATCTACTACCCTGCTTGTTAACTTTGCTGCGGCACTGAGTGCGTACGCTAGCACACATCATGGAATCCGCGACACCATGAAGTCTGTACGGACGCGCGAGGAAGCACTCGACGACCTACGACGCCGACGACGGCGTGTTGGAGCCTCTGCAGACGGTGCCGAAAAGAAGCTCAACAAGATGAGCCCCGAACACAAAAATCTCTCAGCACAGACTGACGCTCTCAACCGACTGCGTGAAGAGATGCGCGCAATCGATGGTGAGATTGTTCGCGAGGAATCTGAGTTGGGTGATTACAAGAGAAAATGTGCAAAGAGTTGGATGCAGGCCAAGTTTGGAGGTCTTGCAGAGTGCTGTGAGAAAGGTGTGGTAAGTCGTTTTGTTTTTTGTTGTTCACTCTCTGCCTCATTTTTTACTCAGATTGTTGGTGACATAGGCAAAGCTATCGTTGCAGTATGTTCTGATGTAAGCTCGCAGGTCTCATCATGACGTTCATTCATAGGAAATTCCCGAAGACGTGACACAACCAGGACTTCCTCGAGCATATTATAATGGTCACCCACGTGTCAGTGCCTTTGTATCTGAGGCACAGCGTGGTATAGCGCAAGTAGCCTTTACGACTGTTGCGTCTGGTCGTGTCAGCCAAGGAGAGTATGAGCATACATCGCCGACTCAGACCTCGTCACATATGCAAGAACGACAGTCATTATCGTCGAGTTCTCCATATCTACCTGTTCCGCATGTGGGAAGCAGGCTCCACTTGAGCGGCTTTGGGAGCGAATCTCTGGTGGGACTTAATGAGCTCAGCCCGAGTCAAAATATCTTATCATTCCGACATTCACAGCCTCCACCTCCACCTCTAAACCAGCGAACAGCATCTGCGGACGAATTTGGCGTCCCCACACCAACCTCGACACATGCCAGTCATTTTGCTTCTTTTCCTGCGAGGGGCACAAGCTTAGGCGTCCTGTCACACGACGCACCGACTCCCTCAAGCCCTTCCCTCTCTTACTTGCGGCAAGCAGATACAATGGCTCCCTCAGCCCTTCCCGCGCATGATACCTCGGGTTCTTTGACTAGCTCTATCGCCGACGCCCTTGCTCGCAGCGATTCTAACTCGTTCAGCCTAAATCGTCCCTCACTTGATGATCCTGCACCAAAGTACGAGCCATTCGTGCCCGGATCAGGTGCTCCATACACTGGTGTTGGAGACACACGCAGAAGCAAGAGTCCAAGTTTGCCACCAGGAGCTGCTCCTGCTGCAATTCAGGCTTGGGACGGAGGTCTGGGTGCTGAAATTGAGGAACGACGTACAGTGAGCGAAAGCAACGACAACGCGATGAGCGTCATGAGCGGGAATGAACAGCCGACGAGCATTACTGGTCTGAGCGACAGACGGACATCCCAGGAGTCGGTGGGTGGTATGCCGTATGACCATGATGAGGAGGCCGAAGATGACCAATCGAATGAAATTGTACTGCAAAAGATGGATCAAGGAGTGAGGCTTGGGACGGAGGAGGATGAAACAGAGGAAGAAAGTAACAGACCTTCGCCCGAGACGACGGAAAGTCAGAGACGTATCCCGCGCGTGCCTCCGCCCCCCGTAGATACTGAGGCACCAGCTCCACCAGATCATACTAGGATTGTGTCTCCGCCGTCACTGGAGTCTACTTCCCCTCTACAGACTCAGGCGAAAGGTCATTCAGAAGACAGCGATGGAGACGACGAACAGGCACGCAATGCAGCAGCTGCACGCGAGGTCTCTCGTGAATTGGATGCGCTAGCATTCAGTGCACCTGCACCAGTGACGTATTCCACTCATCCTACTCAATCCCGAGCCCCACCGCAAGGTTCTTATATGTCAGGGCAGACTTACTTACCTCAACCACACCAACAACTACAAAGTCACCTTCCTCAGCAAGTGCCCAATCAGACCTCTCGGCCGCCCTCACCTCTTGCGCCACCTAATGCACCGTTCGCTCACCGTTCCGTTTCACCTCATCCTCATATCGGTGCTGACCCAGGCGAATCACGTCCTTTACCGATCATAACTGCTTCGAAGAGGAGATCGTCTCGTTCTACATCGCCTCGACTCCCACCATCTTCTCTGTCCAATATGCAATCATCTTCTTCCGTCTCCCACAGGTTACCACCTGAACATCCCCGTCCACTACCGCCGTTCTCGTCTCCCCTCATGACGAAGTCCACGTCTTCGCTGACATCGGGTGCTCCCGGTGGTGCACCACGAATGATCTCAGCTGCTGCGTTCCGCAGGCCCGGTCGCAATGGAAGCGAGTCTGGGTCATCATTAAGTCCGACAGGGTACGGCGGGCCGGCAGATACCTCACCTCTATCTCTCCTCCGCCCTTCTGCATCGCCTGCATCTTCGATGTCACGGAAGTCCGGGGCAATGCGAAGGTTGTCTGTAGTCAATCCAGACCCAATCCAAGTTGATGAAGACGAGTTCGATTACATAGCGGCATACACGGGAAGAGACGAGCCGAAGAGTGCGCCGGCCCGGCAGAGTGGGGGATATGGACAAGGGAGGTATGTTAGTGACCTCGAATCTCGATGATCAAGACGAACGTTTGTCTATGTTTAAACTTGGGACCGTGTTTCTCCGGATATAAATGAGCTATGGACATTTTTGTATGTATGTGCTTTTCCAATTGTCCTACTGTTATGTTAATTTTCCTATAGTTTTTATTCACAATCAAATATGTTGTAACGTGCGATATCCAACCCTTTTAGCTATTGTTCAAGTTGACTATTATCATTCAGTTTGTGATGCCATGAGCAGTGTTCGTGCTTGACGTGTTGTATCCTTATCCACTTTTTTTTTAAAAAAAAAGAATCGAATTTTTTGTATTGTGGAGAGTCATACTCTACGGAGGACAATTCTATCTAGTCTCGAGGACCGGTGTCCCCGTCGCATCTCTGGCGTTGTTCACCTGAAGCTCAATACCTGGAATTCTGAAAGGTCAAGAAGCATGCTCGCCTTGTCATAATCGATCCAATAGATGAGTTCAGATCAGAGGTCATTCATTCATTGATGCATCGACCATTGTTAGGTTGTGTGTAACTGAACACATCGGTTACATTCTACGGTACCACGATATCAACCTGATTTGCTAGAGTAAACGAAAAGAGAAATCATGGTTTTAAAATTGATTATTCTGAAATGAAGGCTTGGGGAAAAAACACAAGATCGTGGACAGCCATAGCTCCCATCCTTATCGCAACTCCAACCATATTTAGCACGATTCAGAGCGCACATATCTTTCAGATCGAAAGCAGAGCTCAGACTTGGACATCGCCAACCCACACCTCTCCACTACGCTCGTTCGAACTAAGAAGGCCACCCGAGAGAACTACTCGGGTACCACCTCCAGGAGCGGTATAGGACGTTGAGGGGAACCAGCCACGGCCCTCCGGAGTCGAATCACCTGCGAAATGAGGTCAGCTGAGGACATGGCTGTGGCGCGGGCGCGATGAATGATGATTAAACTTGCCTTCTATTATTAACTTCTTCCACCTTAGCCCACCTTCGCGCCACACCAGCGCCCAGGCATCGTCCCAAAATTTCCCGGCACCTGCATGGCCTAGGTCGGAGGCGTCAGACTCGCCGTGGTAGAGCAATGCGACTCCCGTGCCATCAGGCGTGGAAAGAGGGACGAGACCGTGGACGGAGCGTGCTCCGGGATATCCCTGTTGCGGATCGCCAGACGGTACGACGGTTGTCCAGGAGTTGGTACTTGGTGTGTAAATATCTAAGGGTCGCGGTGTTGAGGTGGGGAGTTGGTACCCAGCGAAACCTGAAAAAAAAATTAAGATATTGATTAATTTAGGAATAGGGTGGTGATGAATCCAAGTTAACCACGATAAACAAGGACAGAATAAACACGAGTCGGGCGTATATGAAAGGAAAAACAAAAGAGCATGAAGATTATCGGACTTCGTCTTTGATAATGTTACGAAGCGGGGATCACGAAATGTCGTAGGTAGGGTGCATATCAGACTTGGAAGAATAACATACCGCCGAATCGAATGATGACTTCCTCATTGGAGGAAGATGATGGAAGTTTTACAGAAGCGATGGCAGTGCCACCACGGGCAGGATCGGGCGCATCTGCACAGAGTGACCACAGAGAGGATTGCAGATCATAAGAATGAAGAGTAGAGAGGCGACCAGATGCAGGACAACCTGCATGAATGTACAATTTTCCCTACATAAAAATCCCGATCAGCACAAGAACGATCTTCAGGAAGAGAATGCATTGTAGATTGATGGAACGCTCAGGATGTAAAGCACATTTGTGGATACATACATTAGCCAAGACGGAAGCGTGGAAGCTTCTCGTGACGGGCTCGTCGCCCTTGCCTTCGAGCTTCTCCCATATTACTTTATTCTGCAATATCTGCCCCTTCCATATGCCCGCTTGCTTGGGGTCAAGAGGTGTCGGATCAACGCCCCCCCTTCCACCCCACATGTACAAACTTTCACCATCGAACACCGTTGTCGCGCCCACTCGGGGTTCCGGCTTCGACGATGCGGACAAGGTACGCCATAAGCCAGCACTATCCGCTACGGATTGCTGGATGGCGCTGTTCAGATCAAATACGTGAACGTCTCCATCCACAGGTTTGCGTGGCTGGAACTCGCCAGCATATAGCAATAGGGTGCCTTTATTCGCGATAGAAGCACAGTGGGATGATCGTGCTTTAGTTGGGAGAGATGATAGGCATGTCCATCGGATCGACATCGTGTACGTTATATCAGGAACTGGGGGAGCGATTACGGAGTGCTGGGTGGTACTATGTACTAGACGATTAGTAAAAAGACAACGATGTGACAATCGTCTTGATGAATGCGACGATTAATGAGCGCTCAGTGGCGTGCACGCGGCCGGTTCCTTTGGACCAAGTTGTTCAAATCTGCGTGATTCACAGTTGCAGCCATAATTAACCAACGACTCACAATTAAGCCTATTATACTCTCTCGCTCCATCGCACACTTACACGCCTCCGGAGCTTCCATCATGATAAGGTCGCAGTGAAAGGGTTTGGTCTGGTCAGTTACCCAAGGGTTGAATGTTCATCAAGGCCGCGTAGTGCGACGTGGTTAAAAGTTGATTCCGCGTATCATTACCGTCAGCACTAGCCGACGATTTGCAAGGAACATTTATTAATGGAGGACAAGTGCAGACCTGTATTGGGATAAGAAGGAGTAGAAGCGCTTCCGATGTCTAAATTTAGAGCTTTCTTTGATCCAATAATGGTTAGGCCTTTATTGTCTTGGCTTGCTTCGGTGCTATACCCAAAATACAATAAACGTACTCCCGGATTCGCCATGTCGACCCAAGAAATGGGTGATCATGTACGATACCCTCCATCACATCCAATCTCCTCTTTTGTTTAAGAGCCGTATGAATAACCACAACTTCAGTGACTCTTCCCTCATCTGTTGGGTCCTGGAGTCCCTCTTGTCAGACACTACACTTGCCTGCACTTTGTACGTACTACGTAGAGTCTGGCACCTACGACCATCTGTAACACATCATACTTAATACCCATCGTTATGGCATCACACACATACCCTCCCCCTGAACCTCGTACTTTTCCACCCCCAACCAACAACACTCTGTCGTCGAAAGAGCGCTCTGCACTCGTGCGCTCGACCAAGAAGATAGGTCGTATGCTCGGCGATATCCCGCGATTCGTCGACGATATCGAAGATCGTGAGCTTATCGTTTTTTCACTCACCTGCATAATACTGATGCCAGGTACAGAATTCGTCATGGTAACGCCCCCAAGACCGCCCACTCCAGCTGGACCCTCCAAAGAAGACGCATGGAGAAGTCGTAAACCAACTCACCTTCCCCCGATCATGAGGCTCTCTGGTGGTATTGCCGTGGACTCCAACTCTCCACCCATACCTTCACGTACTGCACCTGTACGGCGCACTAGCGTCGTATCAACTTCCTCTAACAAATCTTCCATTCACGAACAGCTTCACACTCCATCCAAGGAGGCTGCACACAGGCGCAGCAAAATGGAACGGTTACGAAAGAGACTAGGTGAAGAGGTTCCAATGGAAGCCGTTTTTCCACCTACCCCTGTCCCGAGGACAGCCGTCTCACATACCACAATGCCCGAACGCTCACGCAACCATAGCCGCTCGCGGTCTGTGCACCCTTCACATGACGATACTGTCACATTCTCGATAGATCAACACACTGTCGTTCTCAAAACCACCACACGAGCCAATCAGCCTCACTCACCTCATCCTCATCGTTCTCACCATCCGCACAAATCCGCACATCGCCCGCCGTCAATGCCTATGACCGGGCTACCACCGTTGCCCAAGTCCAAGCTTCCCCGCACCTCGGATGAAATGGGCCTATTAGGCGTAAGAGCCAAAACGGCGGCAGGCTCTAAACTCGGTGGTGCAGAATTCAAGGCCGCAAGGCGTGCCAAACGGGAGGGCTTTGGTGAAGTGGAGATGGTCGGGTTCATGGGTGGTTTTTAGGCCTTGCTCTGGGCCTCCACTATGTGGTCATGGTGGATATATGCATGTACGGTGCTCTCGCATGGAGCCATTCTATGCTCTGGGAATCTTGAGGTTCCGGTATGCGGATCTATGCGAGTCTGGGTATGTTTTCATGTTGTCTGTCTATGCCGTCAATCGTTTTCTCTTCATGACAATACGCACTACACACCATTGGGCTGGACCCTGTATCGACTGACGAACGTTGCCTCCAATGATGCTTTCCTACACTATAATGTCAGTAGTTCTAATATTTTCACCTAGTTTTTCAGCAGTCGAATCAGAATGTACTCCTCATCAGATTGATATTAAGTAGTCGTGGGAACTACAATTTTGCGAATATGATAACCAGTTTATTCCGTCCGGTCCCGACTCACAATCATGATGCATGTATCATAGCCATCGATGGCCGCCAATCAAAGATAACTTCGGTCATCCACGAACATCCCTCCACTGCGACCGGTTGAGGCCTTGAGCTCGAAGGGCAACATCATCCCATCCTTGCGGCAATCTTTTTGAATATTGTCATTTTGCCTCATTTTGATAGGTGGCGACGGTGATGGCTCTACATCTATCAATGAGAAGCAAACCATCTGCAGTGATACAGCAGTCCGGAAGAACGGATGAAAGATGCTCCAATACGGACCTCGTCACTTCCTTCCTCGTCAAGGAGGTCTGAATCGGCTACCATGACATAGCCTTGGTACAGCAATTTCAAATTCCTGACCCCCGGACATAGAAGTCGATGGGTCTCCTTGAGGTACCGACTCGGGCCCACTCTGGAAGGCTTACTAGCGCTCAACTCACCTCCGTCCGATTCTCATGGAACATGTGATGTGACTAGAAGCCTTATATGTAAATGGTGCGCCAGGTTACGCCGAATCATAACGTTCATGTCCATCTCAAAAGGTATAGCATTAATAACAGGGTCTGCTCAGGGAATTGGTCGCGGCATCGCTCTTCGGCTTGCACGGGATGGCTTTAACGTCGCTCTCAATGATTTACCCAACAAGGATGCCAAGCTGGAGGCGGTAGCGACTGAAATTGAAAGCCTTGGGAGACAAGCATGCATCGTTCCCGGCGACGTGACTGTCGACAAACAAGTCAAAGGGATGGTCGATGACGCCGTTACAAAACTTGGTGGACTGGATGTCGTCAGTCGCTTTGCTTATCTCACTAGACGTGTTTCATGGATATTTATCGTGTAGATGGTCGCGAATGCTGGAGTGGTGGAGTTTGCCTCCCTTGTGTCATGTACGATTATTTCGGTCAGTCTACGATTGACGGGTTCTTATGTCCTCCACTAGCGACTGTAGAGTCATGGGACCGCACACTCTCAGTAAACGCCCGTGGAGCTTATCTATGTTACAAGTATGCTGCAATACAGATGATCGAACAGGGGCGTGGCGGTCGAATCATTGGTGCGAGCTCAATCGCGGGCAAAATGGGTGCGTCATATAGACATGAATTTGCTTGAGCATTCTTATCCAAATGACCAAATAGGCTTCGCCCACAACTCCTCATATACAGCGAGCAAATTTGCGATTCGAGGGCTCACTCAAGCTGCAGGTAATTCCTGAGGTACTCGCGTGTACAGCTTCTAATAAAGACCGTTTGATAGCTGTTGAACTTGGTCAATATGGGATTACTGTCAATGCATATGCTCCGGGCGCGATACAGACTAATATGAGTAAGGTCGAACTAATTTTCGATTTGCCAGCTCTGATTCCTAGTTAGTGAAGATCATGCTGGATGAGTCTGGGAACGTCAATTATGAACAGCTTATCGACAATCCTAGCTCGAGGAAGTGGTTTATGTCGGTAAGCAGAGCGTGGTGTCAAACTTAACCCAGATACTGAACACCTGCTTTCTTCACAACCTCGATAAGTTAGCTGAGAATGTCCCCATCAAGCACATCGGACAGCCTGAAGATATAGCTAGCATCGTAAGCTATCTCGCATCGAAGGAAGCGCACTTCATGACCGGTCAGTTCATGCCTTTATTGTGCCTATCTCTGCTCATGTAGCATGTGATGTCTCCAGGTCAATGTGTAGGTCGATTTGTTTTATTGCATACAGCTGATCTGAGCTTTCTCCTAGATTTCTGTCGATGGGGGAATGAGGATGGGCTGAGAAGGCCTCGTAAACAGTTACTATGTTATTACTCCCTGCAGATGCTATGGTGTGATTCCAATATCGAATTGAGGATTTATTCCCTGACTGATCAGTGGTGGTGCTGATCGAATTATCGGGAAGGTCTTGAGCTTGAGGATTCGTAATGGAACAACCAGGAGACCCGTGCAAACCCTATATCATATGCGTCACGCGCACGGGCCTGACATGGTCGCAGAGACAGAATACAAGGGTGTAACCTGTGTTCAAGCGTGCCATCTTTGCCCTGCGGTGTAGGCCTGGCCGCCTGAGTTTCGTTGTGGCAAGGCGGTTAATTTGAGATTCCGCAGTAGCATTCCTGAAAATTCAAGGGGTTTTCATATTCGGATCGTCGCAAGTCTAGTCCTTACCTTCTCCCTTCAAGATTTGAGGAATGGATTACGCAGAGTAATGAGTATGTTTTATTGAGTCTATAATCAGTATGTCTACATAGTATGCTGCGGCATAATCTCATATAATCCAGGAAGGTGATCAGCGCGAGATGATAACTCGGAAGAACTACAATGTACACACAAATCAGTCATTTCGATCCCCACGCCACACAGGGTGCGCAGTATTCGAGAAGGGCAGAAAGTTGACGCTGGTCAGCCTTACGCAGTTAGTCGTACAACCTTAAAGTGCAAGTAGACCGAGTGTCGGGGTTATCACCTTGTAGGTGACATATCTACACATCTGTAGATGGGAACCATATTGAAAGGTCTGCGTGGATAAATTTCTGCATGCGTAACTTACGTAGCAGGAGGGAGTCCCTTTCCAATATTCCTGTTGCTTTTATCATTGAATCATGTGAAGGTATAGATATTACGTGTATTGTCCTATATAAACGAGTCGATGCTTGTTCGAATTAGCACCGGAAATAATGTCAATCACGAGCAACAACTACAGCGGCTCATGCGCTTTCGCTGACCCACCAGATCCCCTTCACTTCCCAAAATGTCCAGAGTGCCAGAAAAGAGCCAACAACATACATTATGATCCGCATCTGTCTAACGCCGCCTGCGCCGGAGAGGCCGAATGCTTGCGCAGCTCGTCGAGAGGACTGAGACAAGGACGTTGAAAGGCTAGAGAAGGCGTTTCCCTATGTGCAAATATTGATATGTTTCAAGGTGAAGAGAAGAATCACTAAGGTACCGTATCATCTAGAGTCAGATGTTGTCTTTCGGCATCGTCGTAGATGTCAGTGGTGACCTGGAAGACCGTTCAGAGGTATGTAGAAATGAGGGAATATCAATCATACTCCGCGCAGTGTGCGTATCTTTGAATGTAACTCATCTAGTCGCTGATCATTCTGTGCTTCGTAGGTCTCTTCTGTAGTTCGTGACGAAGACATGGAAGGACTAATGTGAGAGGCAGCTTTGTTATGGCAGGGGGGTCTACCGTTTTTAAAACTCCGCTCGCCGCTAACGGTCCATTGGACCCGAGAAACAGTCTGGACGGGTTGTGAGACGGCTCTTTCCTGCACATCCCGCTCAGCAGGCTGGGAGCAACATCCGCGTAGACCTCGTCTACAGCTTCACAAGACACCTCGGCATTTCTTTGACGGGTACTGATGCGGCATTGCCTCCCGGACAGATAATTGGAGGCGGCCTTTAATCCAGCGGAACGCATCGACGACGAACTTGTTACATCTTCGACAACCGACCCGACAGGCGCCCCATTCAGAAGCTGGTTGACGAACTCATCAAGTTCATGGGCAGGGAGCCATAGTGGTGGGTACACAGTTTTTCAGGAAGCTTCTTCGAGTGGTGAGCGACTGAATTCGTGGAGGACCAACTGCAAGGGTTGGACTCACATTATTCACTATCACATGAATACCCGATGAAGAAGCTAGATTGTGCTGGACCTCTTTCAATTCTTGTCATCATGTTCATTGGTCGTTCGGACCCATCGCGAGGCGAGCCACTGGATTTGTCTGTTAATTGAATTACGTGAGTAGTTCTTTATCATTCTGGCAGACTCTACACACGTTGAACGTTGCTTGTGGGTGCACAACAGCGACGGTTCGGCCTGTTTTCGAACCTAGAATAACAACTACAATTCTCGCAGGGTATGGTGACTGGTCGTAACGGACACAACAGCAACTGGCCTATTTTCGAGACAGGTATAACAGAAACTACGATTCTTGCAGTTTTGTGACTGGTCGTTATGGACGCAATAGCAACTGGCTTGTTCAAGTAGGAATAACAATAGCTAAAATTCTCGGTGACTAAACTTTCCAGAAAATGTTCACTTTTATCGAAGCCTCATCGACATCCGCCACCGTCGGAGTCTCTGACCAAACTTTTGGTCGTGACTTATAACCTGGAACAGCTTGAAATCACTGGTAGCATACAAGTTACCGCATCGACTCAGAAGCACACTCAACGGCGCCGACCATCCAAGCCTCCATCAACTGATGCCGTGATCATTGTCGTGATTTGTCGCCGCAATTGGCTTCTACGGCAAGAGATATTCCAAGAGTAGTTAGTGTCTTCCACCATCCAAGCGATATGAAAGGAGCTAGGATTCCTATGATATATATAATCCGATGGTACCACTTTTTTCGATGTAGCAAGCTCATAACCTTCCACCATAACCATGTCGCCTCAAAAAGGGATCGCGCTCATCACAGGATCTGCCCAGGGCATTGGTCACAGTATCGCTCTGCGGCTTGCGAGGGATGGCTTCGACATTGCCTTGAACGACCTTCCTATGAAAAGTGAGCAGCTGGCTGCTGTTGCTAGTGAAGTCGAGGCATTGGGACGCAAAGCGTGTATCATGATTGCGGATGTGACAATCGAAGAGGAAGTGAAGAACATGATCACTGACACCGTAAAAGAGTTGGGCGGATTGGATGTGGTAGGACCCTGAGCTTCCGTTTCTGGAAGCTTGCTTATGATGTTTTTATAGATGGTCGCCAACGCTGGCATTCCAGGAGCCAACACTGTCTTGGAAAGTAAGCTCAGAGGTTCTGTTCGAGTATGCACTGCAATCTCTTATATGGTATAGCCACTGTTGAAGACTGGGAGCGCACGTTCACCGTTAATACCCGTGGAGTCTTCCTGTGCTATAAACATGCCGCAGTACAGATGATATCTCAGGGTCGCGGTGGCAGGATTATTGGCGCAAGTTCAATTGCCGGAAAGATTGGTGACTGCAATTCCGTGTTGTGTTGAGTTGAGTCGAGCTCGAAGGGCTGACATGAGCGCTGTCTGCAGGATTTCCATCAGCTGCTGCATACTGCGCTAGCAAGTTCGCTGTCCGCGGATTGACGCAGACTGCTGGTGAGCAGAAACATCTTTGAGTGTGAATGATCACTAAACCTGGCCAAGCTCTTGAGCTTGGAAAACATAATATCACAGTCAACGCCTATGCGCCGGGTGTCATACAAACCCAGATACGTACGTTCCACGTGAACATAGTATGTAGCTTGAAGCTGATCACTTTCGCGAACTTAGTGGATAGTATTTCTGACCAATCTGGAAATGTCAGCCTGGCAGACGAAGATTCGACGAATTACCTTACTCAGGTCTGTTTGTGTTCCCTTCATGCTCGCGTGTATCTGTACCGTCGGCTCACGTCGTGCAGCTAATTGGGAACCGGCCGATCAAACATAATGGTCAACCAGAGGATATCGCAAGCATTGTCAGTTATTTGGCATCGAAAGAGGCGCATTTCATTACAGGTGAGCTCTTATTTTGTCGTTCATTCCCTGCAGCTTGATTGACGCTGCAACAGGGCAATGCGTAAGTGTACAGTGCTGGCCACCTGACTTTCAAGGTATTCACTACACTGCAGATTTCTGTCGACGGAGGCGTCGTTCTATCTTAGCGAGTCAGACGTCTTCCGAACACAACGTACCAAAAGAAGAAACAAGTGTATCTTCAAGAGGTAACGCCGCACATGACGGATTAAAGTTACTCCTGTTTGAATGAATGAATTTATATTTGGCCATTTACGCGCTGTGACAAATGAGCAAGTCTCAGTATCGCGAGTTCCTGCTGATATGTCGCAGCACGTTCGTATTTTGCAAGTCCGCACGTCAAAGACCCAGGAGTCAGTGTTCCTAGACTGATATCTGGAAGTAGACCGGAGGCTCTTCCTTCCTCATTCCAAGGCTTTCGAGTTGAGCAAGAGTTCTAAATGCTGCGTAAAGTCAGTCATTAATCAACCCAAGTAATTGAGACTCGATGGATAGTTTCTGCTCCAGGCATTCCATGCTTATGAATCAGGGTTTGACAGTCCTTGACCTTCCTTCTGACGATAAGGCCCCTGAGTCTGTTGGAATGATATAAACCAAGGGGAAACGAACAAGTGCGGACTACAAATTGATAACGAGTCCAGGGATTCCCCTTGCAGGGAATGCCGCCATGTCAAAGGGCTGTCGGAACAAGCTGCACGAAAGTAGTCTAGTTGAACCAAGACAAAGTACTGGGTAGGCGCCCGACTCGGGGATGTGGTTACTATCGAGGGAAATTTGCTAAATCTCACATGTCACAGATAAGCGCATTACTTGTAACTTGAAGGTTGAAGCTGAGGTCGTCTCCTCAGGTCAACCTCATGTTGCGACCCTCCGTGCCAATTGTAAGTATTGTACGAGAGTCAAAACGATTAGGGCATGTTCAGTAGGTTAGTCAGCGGATAGCTCTTTTAAAATTTAAACTTCCGGAGATTTCGACATTGATTTTGCAATTCAAATGAGTTTATACCTACCAAGTTAAATACTTCCTTAACTGGTCTTTTTTATTTTATCTATTCTTCCGCAATATTTGAGCCTACGGATGATCACCCAATGATTACTCGTAGGTCACAGCACTAGAGATCAAAACATACTAACACAGTACCACTGCCAGTATCTCCTTGGGAAGCCCGGTCACCGTCCCCAGTAGGCTCGGGCATTACCCAAGCATAGGCAAGCCTAAAGCCCTATCATGAGAGCTGGGCCCAATGTGACATCACTGACTGACAGTGGCGTTGAACGTTGAAGGCTTGCAACTGCGTTCTATCCCCTTCGTACCGTTATCCTGGTCCGCTGTTTCTGGACACCATGATAAGAACTTGAATCATTCCAAAAGGTATTTAACATCCGTAGATTATCTTGGGATTGCTCAATCAATATTCTCGATGTCTCAGTCCAAAGGTGTCGCCCTCATAACCGGTTCAGCACAAGGAATCGGCCGTGCGATAGCGATCAGATTAGCCCAAGACGGCTTTGATTTAGCGCTCAATGATCTGCCCGGAAAGAAGGAAGCATTGGAAGACTTCGCAGCCGAACTTCGGCGAGGCGGAGAATCAGAGAGCTCACACCATCCTAGAACATGCATTGTGACTTGCGATGTCAGTAAAGAAGACGAGGTGAAGAGCATGATTGATACTACAGTTGACGCTCTAGGGAGCTTGGACGTCGTGAGTAGCGACGCGAAGTGCGTGATCGTTGGACTCATGACATACTACCGCAGATGATCGCGAATGCCGGAATTAGTGGCATGGTAGATCTCTTGAGTGGCACGTGGATCGATCGTGAACCATACCTGGCACAGTACTTACTTTTTCATGCAGAAACTCTAGAAGGCTGGGACCGCATGATGAAAATCAACGGCACTTCTGCATTCCTGTGCTATAAATACGCCGCAATCCAGATGGTGAAACAGGGACGTGGCGGCCGCATCATCGGTGCCAGCTCCATGGTAGGAATACAAGGTAAGAGGCTGTCCCTGAGTCGAGTGTGGCACCTGAAAATCATGCGTCTATTATGAAGCTACGTCCCCTTTGATGTCCTACAGTGCAAGTAAATTTGCTGTTAGAGCTATAACGCAAGCGGCTGGTAAGGTCATTATCTCATGCACATGCATTAGTACTGACGTCCTCGTCAAGCGCTGCAACTCGGACAATACGGAATCACGGTCAATTCCTATGCTCCGGGAATCATAGCGACACCCATGGGTGAGTGCTAGAGTAGGTTTTTGTGCTGTCCCCGCTGAATCACGGACAGTTGTCGCATCAAAGTCCCAAATTGCAAAGCGAGGCGACAAGGTTGACTACTTCCAAAAGGTGCGACGAGGTCTACTGCCATAATATGTCTTGGCTAAATTGCAGCACAGACGATCGACACCTCTGCAGTCGGGTACATCGGACAACCGGAAGATGTTGCCAGCGCCGTTGCATACCTCACTTCCAAGGAGGCCCATTTCATCACAGGCAAGTCTCCCATCTCACAAGGGCTGTGTGCGAACTAACCTGTATTTCTGCATGTCAGGACAATGCGTAAGTTCATTTGAGCCACTGATATGTTGAGCAACTGAGATGAGGAACCGGTCACGCAGATTTCCGTTGACGGTGGTTTGATGCTTTCCTGATACGAGTCCATGAATTGCCGAATAATCGAATCCCAACGGGAATCCAAGTTAAGAAATTATTATCACACAATTTTTCAGTTACTTTGTAGGTGTGGTTCAATTCAGGGGAATCAAGCGTCGTCGTCTATGATTTAATATGCAATCTGTTCTTACTTTTCTTTACGCTGGATCTACGAGAGCACAGTTTAAGGGTATTGCTGGATTTTGATGATGTGCGGCGCCTGCATAAGACAACTGTGATGGCTTGACGATCTGTTGATCACCACATAAAACAAGTTAGTTCAATTCCCATCGGCACGGCCCACTCGCCGGATGTTTTTGCTTATCCGTTCGTAGATGCGTTATGACTTGCTGCCTGGATTCGCAGATGTATACGCACGATTGACAGTGGTCTGTCGTGTCTGGGTCTCCATCGGAATAGTATTCGTTCGGCAGATACACCGGAGAAGATGGATTTGTTGATACAGACAATGGAGCTTGCAATGTTCATCGCTCGCCTCTGACAGACTTTTGGCGCACTTTCATGGTGGCAAGGCAGTGTAGTGGAGAGTACAAGATAATCGTGTCGGATCACAATATCATCATACATGCTAGGGACTTGACATGACGGACGTTAGGATATTGTAATTCGAACGACAAAAACTTATCTGATATGTTTTCATCCATGCCTTGGCAGTCCCTCTATTCAAAGATATCATCCCCGTGCGTCCTTATCAATCGTGGTCATTATTGCTTCCACCCGCAATAACTCATCCTTGCAGCACTCTGGTACATTCAGCTGAATTCATATCAAGTATTGATAAGATGAACTAGCGCGCGTTCACAATGGAGCTGTTGAGATCACGAGATGTTGTATATGACGAACATTTAGCTGTGCGCAAATGGCGTAGTGATGAAACGAAACGAGATCCACGTTGTAGCAGCATGGTGAGGAGCCACTAGGAACGCCAGAAAAGTGCCTACATGAGGTGGGTTGTGGGCACAAAATCAATGCTACTCACACCCATCAGCTTTACGATATAAACATATCTACAAAACATACCCGTCGTTTGCTACTGACCGTTTCTCTCTAGACTAGCACAACATGTCAGTGGAACTTTCGGATGCGGCAAGAAACGCAGATTTTATCGTGAAAGAACCCTCGACGCAGTCGCGCATAATGCTAGGACACAAATCGTCAGTGTTAGCAGCCGCGTTCTTCAAAGACGGTCGAAGGGTCGTCACCAGTTCATCGGACAAAACCCTGCGAATTTGGGATGTGCAAAAAGAAGCATTGGTAGGAGCGCCATTCGAGGGACACAAGGGCTGGGTGCGAGCAGTTGCTATATCCCCAGATGATAGGAGAATTGCGAGCGGCGGAGAGGACAAAACTATTATCCTATGGAATGTGGACAACAAACAGAAGACTTTGGATCCGCTGGTGAAGCATGCGCGCGATGTGAACTCGTTGTGCTTCTCCCCCGATGGCAAAAAACTGGCAAGCGGGTCATCTGATTGCACGGTTGTTGTATGGGATGCAGAGACTGGCGCTGTCCTCGCGACACTTCGTCATAACAGTATGGTGTTGACTGTGGTATTCAGTCCCGATGGGTTGAAATTGGCCTCGGGATCAAAAGACAATACCATCCGCGTTTGGCGCACTAATGACACCGAGGTTCTTCTCGAGTTCAACGCTCACCAAGATCGGGTTCGAAGCGTTGCGTGGTCTCATGATGGCCAGCAACTTGTCTCCACATCATACGACCAAACAGTCAAGTTTTGGAACTCGTCAAACGCAGACCAGATTGGTCAACCTTGCGCTGGTCACACTGCCTGGATCTACTCGCTCGCCATCTCCTTTAACAACTCCTTCATCGCCACTGCCTCTTGTGATAACACGGTGCGGCTGTGGAGCACAAAAACACACCAACAGATAGGGCAGGCACTTGAACACACTAGCTGGATCGGCTGTGTTGTAATTTCTCCCAATGGAGAACTACTCATGAGTGGAGATGGAGATGGGAAGGTTTGGCTCTGGTCCATCAAGAACATACTCGAAGAATATCATGCGGAGGATAGACTAAAGGATGAGCAACAGCAACTGCTCACCAACGCTGCTGGCGTAAGCTTCTATTTCCGCTCTGAGTCCAACAAAGTTATAAGTTGACCTTTCAAACCAGAATGTTCTGTCGACACCTTTCATAACGGTAAGATTTCTTCTTAGCGCGGCATCGTATACTGCTAATGACATTGAATGAAGGACATCGATCGAAATGACATCCAAGCTCAGGTACGCTCTTACCCATAATTTTTCACTGTGTCTTTCTTACTCGCAGCCCATTCTTCTGCGCTATGGTACAGCCACGCAATGAGGACTCTGACAATTGCGACATTAAAAACCATTATTCTTCGGACACTCATGCAGCCTCTAGTATCCTCTCGTTTTCCTCACCATTCGACGTGAGTTTTCCTTCGGTGCATCTGCTCATTATGGAATGTGAGCATGTTTTATTATGCAGAGCCTTCCTATGAACCCGACGGTCCGCAATGCATGCATCACTGGGGACTTGCATACTGCTGAAGAGATTTTGACCCAGGAGATCGACACTGATGGCGACAGCTGTAATTCTTATGCCAGTCGCTCGGTTGTAATGGCGCGAAATTCTGATTGGGACCAGGCACTTCGAGATGCAGTCAACGTAAGACACTCTGCTCTTCGTGACTGTTGATTTGACTCCTCTGTGATCTAGTCAATCGATATCCGACCCTCATTAATGGGCTGCATCTCTAAGGGCATTGCCCTTTGCGGCAAAGGGCAAGTTTGGAATGCCATGGAAGCTTTTGATCTCGCTTTCACATTTGCTACTCATGATTCGATTACCATTAATCTTTTACTGTTGATCAAGGTACGATTCACACTATCTGCTATTTGGGTCATTCTCAGTCTCAGTCCTCAACTTTTCAGGCTATTGCGCTTTTCAATGCAGGTCATCGTGAAGAGGCAATCCGGCGAGTTCAAGACCTAGCCATTGCCTGTCAGCACTTAGATACACTTTCGTGCAATGTCGTAAACGTGAGTCTTATGTCAGGGCTTACAGAGTGTCACTGAAATGCACTTGCCAGTCATATCTACATGTACGACTTGCAACCATTGCTTTTGAGAATGGGCGGTACTTCGAAGCTGCTGAACAATTCACGGAGGTCCTCATTACGAATATGAATATGGCTGGCTCATCTTTACGCGCGGCACTGTGCGAATCTAGATTAAAGATATTCACCGTGGTCTGTCACAACAACGTCACAACACTTCCAATAATTGATGACATGCGCTTTGCAGCTCTTTGGTTGGGACTTAGATTCATTATGGCAAACCATCCACCAACGACAGTGTGACGCATTCCTCCGCGCGGATCAAGTGATCGAAGCCATCGAAGCGTATCAATACATGATGCACATATTTGACGAGGCTGAGAAGACCAGCTGTCTCGCATGGTCTACCAGTGAGTGTCTTCCAATTTGAACAACTCGAACATCGATGTTGACCCGAGGTCGATTAGCCTTCAAGCAAGACTGCATTGCACGCTGTGTGGCCAAGGGAAAAGAAGCTGTTGTTGCGAACGATCAAGCAAGAGCTTTCAAGCTTTATTCGGCAGGGATAGGGCTAGATCCCTCATACGACCTCCTTTTTGTACACCGCAGTAATGAAAATTTGAGACGTAACTCATATGCGGAAGCCCTCTCCGATGCAGAACAGGTGCGGATGATAAGCATGATCTTTATCATTGGGTTGACACTGTCATGCATAGGTGATCAAACTCAACCCTTCGTCTCATATTGGGTACCAACTAAAGCACGAAGCGCTTTACGGGGCACATCGCTCTGATGAAGCAGTCGTGACCTTCAATATCATGCTCTCCAAGTTGGAAGACGCTTCCGACACGCAGATACGACGTAAGTCCCGAGTCTTTCATGAGTTGACGTGGACATGATCACGTTTTTCTCCAGAACTACGTCGGAAATATCATTATGTCACTCCTTGTGAAGTAGAACGTGCTATTCGAGGAGCGATTCATGCTCACCTGGACACTGCTCCACTTCGTTTACTCAACACCTCTACTGGGCGTTTGTGCGATCGACAGGCACAGATAACGGCCTTCATGGAAAGCACAGAGTACGAGAAACTTATGTCTTCGTTGATGACACACGGACACCTCCAATTGGAGTGCATCAAAGAAGTGGTGGTGATGTACTTCCGTTGGGTAATGTTATCGCATACGTGGGAAACGAAGGAGCCGCTACTACTCGACATTCAAAACAAGGTCGTGTATGATTTGGATCCAGTCGGAACTATGGTGAAGCTACAGACGTTCTGTAAAATTTCCCGTAATGCAGGGTATCACTGGGCATGGAGTGATACATGTTGCGTCGACCAACGTAACAATGCTGAGCTCCAGCGCTCGATCAACTCCATGTTTATCTGGTATCGCCATTCATCTCTTACGATTGTCTACCTATCCGACGTTGCACCATCGTCGAAGTCTGGCGCACTGGCAAAGAGCGCTTGGAACACGCGAGGATGGACTCTCCAAGAGTTCCTGGCTCCCAAAGTCATTCTCTTCTACCAAGCAGATTGGACCCCATATCTCGATGACCGTTCTCCCAACCACAAGGAGTCCGTTGCTATCATGCATGAGTTGGAGGATTCAACAAACATAAACGCCCAGGCCCTCGTGACCTTCCGTCCCGGAATGAGAGGTGTCCGAGAGAAACTTCAATGGGCGTCGACACGCATCACAACATTACAGGAAGATATTGCATACTCATTGTTTGGCATCTTTGGCGTTCACCTACCTGTAATCTATGGCGAGAAGAAGCATCACGCTCTCGGGCGACTGCTACAGGCCATTGTGGCTCAGTCGGGTGACATCAGTGCCCTGGACTGGGTCGGAAAATCGTCGGAGTTCAATAGCTGTCTGCCAGCCGATATTGCCTCGTACGAAGCGCCGCCATGCATACTACCATCGCTATCCGAAGATGAGATGCAGGTGTCGGTTTCCAACCTCCGAAGTGCCGCGGTTGTGGAGCTGGCTGTAGCATTGTACGCCCAGCTTGACAACCTGTGCGCTCCTCGTTTCGCGAACCGCAGACTGCTCCTTCCTTGCATCACCTTTCTTGTCACAGGAGTCAGGAGGAGGCACCGGGAGGCATATTTCACATATGACATCAAAGCAGACGGACTCCAAGACTTGTCAATCACCACCGAAGACAGGCTGACTCAGTTCTCGCAGGCAAGACCTTCACGGCAGACATTCTTGCTCGTTCGTCCCTGGAACCATCATGACCTCGGGCTGCCTGATTTCTCAGACGATATGCAGACCGTGCCCGGGTCTCCACTAAATGATTTATGTTGGGGCTACCCTAAAGAACTTGGTCTAGTTGATTTGGAGTCTCAGTCGCGAGCGTTGAGGTTAATGGTTCGCCTCGGACAGCCTTTTGGCGCACTTTTATTAGCGCAGCAGCGTGGTGGGGAATACAAGAGAATCGCATCAGATCATGACATCGTCGCACGTGTCAAGGACGTGACTGCTGTCCGCGACATGTCGAACGTCCGAACTGTAGAGATATTATAGTCTCATGTATTTCGAAGGACGAGGGATTCTGACGCATTTTCATTCATATCTTTGACTCTACTTTCATGGAACTTCCAGTACCCCAACTCGGCCTTTGAATTGATTACAGCAGACATACGATCCGCACTAGATGAGAAGGTGTGACCACAGGTGATTGTAATACTTGGTTAGACTACATCATTTTTAGGGTTTTGCTGATTGAACCAGCACCAAAACTGGAACCGGCTCGCCGTTGACCGAGTTACACTAGCGCCACTGCCACTGTGTGACACGCTGTAGTGGCTGTGCCACCTGATACTCTCCGACCAAGGTCAATTTTGAGCTCAGTGGTCTGTCTTGGCCAAGTATGTATTTATGGTATATATTGTTGTTTGGCTGTACTAGTAGAACGTTTAGCCGAACATTTTTTCAAAGATGTGCTCAATTCCAAATGTCATTGTCAATATTATCAGGGACCTGCATAGTAACCCGCGCGCATCGCGGGTACCACCCTTGCAGATCCCTACTACCAGTGCTGATACCTTGTTTACACCACGGCTGGGCAGCCGAATGTCAATGTCGATGGATCCAAATTAGTGATAACAGGGCATCGCACACTCGCTCAAACTAATCGCTATAAAAGCTATGGATGGTAGTATACTATCTGCACATATCCCACAAGCTCTCATCCCGATATGACCATAGTCTCAGATGATCCTGCTTGGTGGCCAATCATCGATTTTTGTCGTTTCTACAACTATTTTCTAGGTTAGTGGAGAGCGATTTCGATGCCAATGGTGACATCTGACTATCGTTTTGCAGCTGTATGTTCTACTGTGGTGGTATACGACTGGGGTAAGCGAGATAGTACATTCCGAGATATTATTGATATGTATACAACATCCAAGCATTGACATTCGGACAAGAGGTAAGTTGGTGCCCGGGCCATGACCTGCGCATCTCACTAAGAATGTTTCAACAGTTCGAATTGATCTTGGTGAGTAAGGTCCTATATTGGAACCAAATAGAATGATGCAGTCGACTCGGGGCAGAGGCAACATTGGTCCTTCATGACTGTTCTTTATATCTGTGTACGTTATTGCTACGAGCGCCGTTGGCATCTTGCACTGACTTCAACATATGCTAGGTGCGCTACATTGGAATACTATATTCTATGTACGTTTGCAAGGCTATCTACACTGCAATCAACTAATAAGTCATATCTCGCAACCAGCGTTAACATCCTGCGTATGTGTCCTCATATGTGTTTGCTTCTTCTGACTAGTGGCATGCAGTGATGCTCTCTATTACTGATGTGGTGCGTAGTATCCTGCACTGATGCCTGCCACTTTCATTTCCATTCAACTACTAACTACGCTCCTATGTAGGGGTGAGTTATATTCTCGGTCGGCTTGAGTTTTCAAAGTGATGACTTTAACAGCTGTGAGTGTGTTTGAGGTATTTATCACACCATTAAGTAACTGAGGTTTCAGGCACTATCCTTTGGTACATACAGGCATGGAACCCTGTCATCGTTAATGCCATGTTAGGTGGTAAGCCCACCCGCAGTTTTATTCCTGACATTGACTTCACTGAAATATCATTCAAGTCATCATGATTGCTCGGATAAATGCCATGTATCACGGATCGAAAAATTTGTTCATCTTTCTTGTTGTGGCCTTGCTAGCCTCCACGATCGCCTCTGGAGTTATGATGGTAATTGCCAACACGGGTGTTTCATCGCGTACGTTTTAATCATTGATGAAAGTCTGGAGCACAAGAGACTCACGGACATTTACCAGAGGAGGCCGTCCTTTCCGGTTTCCATACCTGCATTACCAAAATTGACGTGGACATGGTGTATCTGACTTACGAGAGTGTGATATCTACTGCTGTATGGGAGATCCTTGTCTTGTTTCTTGCAGTCTGGATTGTCATAAAGCACTTCCGTGAACTGCGACAATTGCCGACAGGATCGACCGTCGGGGACTGTCTCACGATATTAATAGAGAGCCACACATTTTACTTTCTTGCGTGAGTTCTATATGTGATTTGGACATCATTATCTTGTTTTACTGAAGTTCCGCATTTGCTAGCTTTGTTACTATGACTTGCTTCACACTGGGCTCACTATCTCCAAATATCACGGTACGCCAACCGGTGACTAGCATCTGCAGCTGACCACTATCTCATCATTTCTGTGCAGAACACCACGGAACGTTCTATTTACTTTGGCACTTGGGCAATTGCACAGATGTTGCAGATGTTTGTGCTGGGACCGCGTCTGATCCTCAGTGTTCGAAAATATCACGCTAAGCTCGTAGCCAGGGCCGATGGGGGAACAGGCATGACGTCCATTGCTTTCCATGCCGGTGGAGATGTGTTGATTGGCGGAGATTCCTCGACTGGCAGCGATGTGTAGCACATGAAACGATCCAAATGATCAACCACGGTACTGTGCGGGGAGCATGCATACTTATTTGTTTCGTTGTGATATTTAGGTTCGTCACAGTATGTATTTGGTACTCCGAAGTGATTTAGAGGATAGAACTTCTTGTAGCATACACATTTGTTTGTTTCGTTGTGATATTTTAGACTCGTGAGAGTAGGCTTTCGAACAGAGTAAGATTTCAAAGTACAAAACGGAACTGTCTACAGTGATTCCCGGTGAGGTCATAGCTTCGTTAAGCCTATCTCTTGCTCACGTAGCATGTGATATTAAAGCACACCCGGCCGATGTTGCGGTTCCGAAAGACTAGGCTGGGGTATAATGATAACATTTTCTCGAGTATGGATGCGGCTACGGTAGTGAGACAGATATCAGGCCTTCAGGCCTGAAACATCTATCATCCAACGAAATGATGATTTCAAAAGGTCAAAAGTCCTATTCGAACATACATAGCACTACTAGTACAAATAGTCTTCCAGCACGGATAACCTACTCCTCCCAATTGCCTACGCTGGTAGAGTGTCCAACAAAAGATTCAGGATACCAAGGAATGCTGATGCTGATAGGCACCCTTATTGGCTGTGGTTTCGATAATCACATCATACGCCGCTGCGCCTCCCCTGCTAAACACGCTGGAATTGCAGTAACACCTATCGTAAAAGTTGGAGTACTGGAATACGCACGCCAAGATCACCAGGAAGAAGTTTACTATGGCGAGAAATTTGCCCGTCCACCGCAGGACGTGTGAAGACTTTATGGCAACACGTGTGGACAGCGATACTCGGCGGGGGTCAGCGGCGGAATACTGGGCGAGGATACTGGACACCAGGAGCATCATCCAAATTAAAGTCGAAATGGCTCCGTAAAGGAAATAGCCCATAAATCGACACCCAATTTTCTGTCAGACGTTAGCCAACTTGATCACAAGTATACAGGAAGACCCACTGTTGTAGGAGTGAACCACGCCATCATAAGTGATGCTCCGACTGTTCCCCATTGTAATCCCAGCGAAGCGCAGGAAGCGATAGCCATTCTTGTGAACACGCCAGGTGCCCAATGGCTGCGTATAATCTGCACCCCATTAGGTTCCGCGCAATACACTGGCACTGCGATGTGTTGGAGAGATTCGCGTCGGTTCGTATCGTGAATGCTTTGGGTAGTGTCGATGTATTGGACGGTCTCGATGTTTTCGGTAGGGCTGTGAATGCTAGATTCGTCCCCATCACTCCCGTACACGGGAGGATGGCTAGAGGCATTCTCTGATGCCTCTGAGTCCTGTTTGAATACCATGAAGATAGTCTCTGCTGTAGATGCCCATCGCAGCGAACGAGCATAATTAAACACCGGGGGGGTGAGAAGTTCGTCTGGAGACATCACATCATCCTCTTTAGCAGTTATTGCCAACGCTCTCCGGGATGACCCAGGGAGCATCCCGACACGGACGTCTGCTGTTCCTGTGTGCATACTGTGTCTGTCTGCACGGTCATACGCAGCTTGTACACGACTGAAGTCGCATTTCGGGGACAGCTGCAGCCATCCGATGACTATCGGAATCAACCACAACCACAATGAGCCAGTGGCCTGTCCATTGGATTGGAAGTCTGGACCATTCGATGGTGAGTTGGCAACAGTCAAAATATAGGCGACGATGACCCATGCAATGGAGGTTGCGGACGCGATTGACCACGTATGGGTGTAGTCCACAAATTCAGCTAGGCATTTCCACCAGTGATTTTCCGGAAGGATGAGAGATGGCAAGCGTTCGTGATCAGGATGTAGTCTGAGAGGGACTTGCTGAAGGCTGCTCAAGATGGAGAGCGCAAAATGTGAATTGGGATGATAGTTCAGCGAGTCGAACTGGTAGGTGATCCAGCGAGAGTTGAGGAGGGTGAGGAATAGAGAGTAACCAGCAAGTGTCGGTGAACCAACAGTTAACACAGCAGACATGAGATTATCAAGCCTGTACTGTGCGCCAAAGGGGAGCTGCGAAATCAGTGCGATATTTGGCAGCAGCCATGCACTGAATTCTTGCGAAAATTCAGGCCACTGAAAACCTTCTTGTCCAGTTCCGCATTTGGATTTACACAACGAGTAGCTGATCGCTGTTGCATCCCAAACATTCAACACGGGATGTCCGGTACTGTCGAATAAACCATCGAGGCTAGCATTTGGAGTGTGAATCCGGTAAGGTCCGGTACTGTCGAATAAATCACCGAGGGGAACGGTATCACTTGAATTCCAAATGATGTCGCTTTTGATGTCGCTTAAACACTGAGAGAAGTTGACTGCCACAACGACTCTTCTGGCAGCGTGCACCAGTAGTAGTAACAGAGCTATGGACAAGTATTGGTTGAGACACCCATAAATCCGCAATCCAGTCATTGCGCTTACCTGCCTGAGAGCCTTTGTGCAAGCGCATTGGATTAGTTGTGTCGACTATGTATGTAAATGAATTGGGGTAACTTACTAGAGACAGGTATCTCTGCCTTTATACTTTAGTGCGCACTGTCGAGCTTGCGCTCACGAAATGAGGGCAGTGTTACTGCAACTTGTTCGGCGACTTCCGACGAGGATAGTCATACTAGTGGCAGTCGATGCGGCTTCGGAAATGATAGGAGATAACAATATTAAGGCCCACCTCGTTAATTATAGCTATGAAGACCCTGACCTGTGCATCTGTCAAGGAACCCTTTCCTACGATATCTTCTTCTGACAGGTTCTCTGATGCCGAGGTCGCCATATCAGAAGATGCTACAGGGGAGGACCTCTTGAGGAAGCATGCCTGTCATTCTAGAACTTCTCGGCCGTCTCCGTGTATCCTAATCAGGATGTACCGAAACCGTTGCTCTAAAAATACTGGTGGTTGCGTGTCCTGATTGAACCGCAATTGCTCTAAAAATACAATTAGCATGGTTCTCTCGGTTCGCATCCCATTTTGTGTGTCCCAAACAGGACGTGCCAAGCCTCTCCTGGTTGCATTTCAGAGTTTGAACCAACCCTGTCATCGAACCAACTAAACTTTAAAGTCGCTAGCTGTGAATTTACTGATGCTTATGTCATCCACTGCTGCGCATGCAGCTTCATCAGTGATTCAGATTCACCTTCAAAGAGCTCCGTAACAACAAAAAGCTCACTAGGAAAGTGACAATACCGTAGTTTTCTGCTGCTACAGGATTACGCTGTAGCACCTCGTAGCACTGTAGTAAAGCTGTTTTGGGTTTAGTTGGTTCTGAACAAATTTTAAACACTACAACTGCTGTCAGCATGAGTTCGCCGTGTGATAAGATGGATCATGAAACAATCAGTCAAAGAGATAGGATCAAATCAACGATAAGATAGTACTACTAGTAAACATGATATCACTGAGTACATATTTAATCTGAAAGCCTGGTGCGAGTATGATATTCCAAATCTACTATATCTACTACTAGTAATATGAAGCATTCCAACTGCCAGGTGCAAAGTTCTCGAATTCGCCGAACCCTTCCAGCGCATCCTCCCCTGTACTAGTAGTACTATACCCCCCCCGGCATAGGAGGCTGCGGGTACGATGGTTGAGTACCTTGATCCTGTGGGTAGTAGTAGGGGTCCACCAGCACCTCATCTTCGACTGGAGGCTGTTGGCAAGGGTCCAAGCTATTGTAACACAACGGGGGAAGTGCGCAGTAGGTGAATACCTCCCTGGCATATCAGGGTATGGAGCTTCCAAATGTCCCATCTGCGGGAATGGTGATGGTGGTGGTTGGTCGAAATGCGGGTAACTTGAAGTCGAAGGCCCTGCAGACAGCACCTCCAAATGCAAATAATTCGAAGGCCCTGGAGATGGCGCTTCCTCCAAGCGCAAGGAATTGCGGTCCGCTGAAAGGTCATCCGCTGACGGGATGTAGATATTTAGACCCTTGGTCGGCGATGAAATGCCCAGGCGCTTGCGCATCTTTGCCCTGCAAAACAGTAGTTAGTGCTTATACTAGAACTGAGAGTGTATCGACTCACAATCCTTCTTGGTGAAGATTGTACATAAATTTTTCCATCATTTCGGGGTGCATCCTCTTTGCAGCCATGAACACATCATAGATGCCCTGCTCGACGCACGCGTACGCACTACCTTCGAAAGATAATACACTCCCCAAACGCAACAGGCAACCTTCAACATGACGGTCTATTCCACAGTGTATCTAATAAGTTGTTAGCAAATGCTCGCGACATTGTAAATGACTTACCGATGCTGCCGACAGCGTAAGCATGCGTTCAGGCGTCATAGTGATTTTACGCCTGTACGATTCATCGTAGATAGGTGATAGCGGGTTGTCATACCACCCAACAAGGTGGGTACCTCTTATTGCGGGGTGCCCGAAGAGTACGAGTTCACCAATTTTAGGGTTGCAATAGTGGAGGAAATAATTAGGATAGTTGGCCTGGCTCGTGTCGTACAAAATGCTCCGGCGATGCTCCATGTAGCGTTGATCGTCCTCGTCCGATATGGAGACCTCTGGCCGCAACGCATAATGATGCGTATGGGCTTCCGAGATCGTGGCCAGTCGCCCACGTACAGTGGAGAGCTCCTGGCTCACCAACGATATGACGTCTCCTGTCGCTTCTAAGGCTGTGTGTGAGCGTGAAAGTTAGTAGCGCCTGGTACAATGAAAATTTAAAATGACTTACTGCGGTTATGTTTCGCATTACCTTGATTAATGCATTCTCTTATCGCGCTTTGAAGGACGGCTTTGTTGACTTTGGTCAACCAACCGTGAACCGTGATCATGTCTATGACTATGAGTTTTCGTGCCGTTGTGATGACGTCCTGATCTTCCTGTTGGTAATGCGTCATTTGCCGTGTAACCTTCGCTGAATTCCTTGAACCACGCTTTGCACGTCGCCGGGGGTAAGGATCGTCGGCTTCAGTGTTTTCGGTGGATGTGCCGGTTTGTGACGTCCATGAAGCCGAAATGAGGCTGGCTGCTCGGGACAGTGGAGGGTTGGAATACAGGATGGAGATGGTTCTGAGATGGCAGAGTAGCTGACCGCCTCGATTGGTGGTCCTGGAGAGTGTCGATAGGCGGACCCATCTGACTGTGGTCAGCTAGGACTATGCGAAAGACCTGCGAAAGTACTTACATGCATCATAGCTGCTGCTGCAGCAAAACATTCATTCAATCCGCCCTCTTGTCCAACGTCATCGGGACGAAAGGGAGCAGCAAGGAAATGGAGGAATGGTTTCGAAGGGAAGTAGGGTCAGGCTGGGTGCCGTGACCACGACCGTGGCCGCGGCCACGACCAACGAGTCGAGGTGGCATGGATGATGGGATGAGGACAAGGGATGTAAGTCTGGTGTGATGGTGGGTTAGCTGGAGATGAGAGGAAGCTATAGACTCTATTATAGCTGATGCACCTTTCGATGTACTTTCCTTGCCATTGATAACACCCACTGACCATTCTCGTACCGGCGATCACCGGTGAAGTTAGCACTGTATCCAATAGATTTAGTACAGTAGCCTCACGCTCCGCCAAATTAAATCATCGAACTTACTTGATATGTGTGATCGCTTATCTTGATGTAATTGGAGGGCTGGTGATAGCATGTTTGAGGGTTCGAGCTGGTTCGACTCAAGTCGCGCCGCGAGTCTGATGTAATTGAGGTTATGAACTCGGACTCAGATTGCCAATTGAATCAATGATGAGGCTATTACTCACCTGGCGGCTGGTAGGATGGCGCTTGATTGATTTCGCCCACCCTATCAATATGTAAAGTGGCCTTGTGTTTGTTGTGTACAGAGCAGCGTGGTTTAAGCAAGTTTCTTGACTCATACGCGTGGTAAATAAAAGTCAACATGGCTAAATAGGGGTAGAGTGGAGGGGATATCAAAATTCTAGCAGATGTCAAAAAACTACATAAAAACTACATAGTACGTAGTGAAAAAAGCTGGCACTAGAAAAACATCTGGGCGGCTATAGAATACATGAAACCACGACTAAATAATTAGACTCGTCACTTCCAGATACAAATACTGACTCTGTGGCCAAAGATTCACCTGAATCAGAGTCAGGAGCCTCACCACTGCTGCTGCTGCCACCAAGAAACAACATGTTGCTTTGAGTACACTTATTCCCTATATCACCTATCAGCACTCCTGCATCGTCAAGCTCATTTCAAAGGGAGCCTATCTGCAAATCGGTTGCAGTCAGCTCTTTCCGGGTGATTTTGAGTTCGTCATCATTGATGGATTTGATCAGTTCCAATTCTATCGAGTGGAGGCGTTGGTATCGGACTTTTGCAGCAATGACCCGACGGGTGACCCAGGAGAGCTCGAGCATGCGTTCTGTGAAATAATTTGAAATTTCCGAAGAGCACGCAGGGGAATTCAGCTATGAAAAAGCTCTTTGATTTATTATTCGTACAAGATGGAATCACATACTGATGTTTTCAGTGTCTTTCTTTTCTTCGTAGGAGAAGAAGGAACTTCTCCAGAATGAACTTCAGGTTCGCCCGGAAATAAGTCATACTGCATGTATCCACGCTTATTGTGATAACCTTGTTTATCTTCAATGATTGATATACCCTTGTCAAGGGTAGGTCTATGGACAGCATTGTTTGGGTTCAAGGTAGGACAGCTACTTTTCACTATAGGAGAGCTGATTAGCACCGGAGAGGTGGGAGGCGTAGAGGATCTGGTTAGTCTGAGATGTGTCAGTGAGTGCTAGCTTGAAGATCCTGAAACTAATCAACAAACCTAGGCGGACTGGTGTCTGGAAAGAAGCAAATACCAGAACCACTTGATACTGGTGAGCTGCCTATTGCTTTGCGCATGCTAAGGTTATGTATCGAGTGTCTGAAAGGCTGACAAAGTCTTATCAGAGGGCAGGTAAACAAATGTTATTCTCACACTTCATATCATCGACACAATTGTGAAGTCCAAAGTTGACTCCTGGAGCATTCGATCACAAGCACGAGCACTTTCCTGACCACTAGACCCCAGCAATCCTAATCAGTAGAATTGTTTGTGTTTCTAAATTTCTTTATGGTGTGATTCAATATTGACCAGAAGATAGCGTGATAACAAGGCTTCCTTGCTTTTCCTGGTACTGTGGTGAACATTCAAATCAGTAGAATCGTTTGTGTTTACGGATTGCTTTATGATATGGCGCAACATTCCTGACCAGAAGACGAGACAATAGTGCAATAACAAGGCTTCTTTACTTTTCATGGTAAGGTGAGCTTATGATTGTAGTGGTCCTAATCAGTAGAATCGCTTGTGTCTATATGTTGCTGCACGATATCATTTAACATTCCTGACTAGGAAACGATAGGTCGCCTTTGGTGCTCCAAAAGACTTATAATGGCCCCCTTTGGCACAACTTGTTCAACAACTTCCATGTCTACTGTTCACCTGCTACATTCAACTTACGATGGGTATACCTTTGCCTGCCCAAACTGTGCAGAGGCATTTTCAAACCATGACAATGTTATAACTCACCTGTCAGTAGCTGTCAACTGTGGCCAGTGGGTCATTCAAGGTGCCGCCCATGATGCTAACGAGGATTGGAATTACCAAGACAAATATGGGGATGACTCTGAAGCTGCGCAAGATGGTATGTACTATGTACTAGATTGGACGGTTGCATCTCACTGTACACTCCCACAGTCTACAGCAGATACGAGGATTTTGATCCTCTAGACGATGATGCAGAGGAAACCATTATTGGTGATCTTGTCTTCCATCATGAGGACGACATACCGCTAGATGATCCTGCCCTAGCTTTTGGTAATCCATCTGCCAGTCCATATCTGTCGGCAGATGATCCTGCTCTGGCATCTGTCAATCCATCTGCTGGCCTGCGTCCGGGCACAGTAAGGCAATATCACCCCAATACACCTGTCGTCAACCCTGGAGGTCAAAATCACCTTCAAAAAATGGATGATGACATATATGCCAATATTCGTAACACCGAAAATATCTACTATCCCTTTGCGTCGAAATCAAGGTTTGACCTCGCTGGTTGGCTTTCTAGTGGGGCATTATCACAAAAAGGAGTTGACTCTTTTCTCCATCTTGAGCATGTAAGTCTCCAATTTACACCTTGTATACAGACATCTTAACAATCACACAGACCGAAGTTAATCCGCCCTCCTTCAACACATCCAAGGATTTACGGGCACAAGTTGAAGCACTGCCCAATGTTCCTCAATGGTATCACCAGCAAATCAAGGTTGGATCCTACAAGACAAAATCGCCACTGATGCTCTACTGGAGGGATGGTCTCGAAGTTGTCAAGTATCTTTTCAGCAACCCAGTCTTCGCACCGTGTATGGACTTCCAATTGTATAAGGAATACAAAGTAATCAATGGGCATAGTCAACAAGTATATGGAGAGTTTATGAGTGCTGACATCGCATGGGAAATACAGGTGGGTGGTGTTCATTGGGAAGCACATACTCAGGCAGTAATGATGTGTTATCAGGATGAACTTCCTCCAGGGCACTCATTTGTTGGTATCATTGGTGCTTCGGACAAAACACCTCTGATGATCGGCACTGGAAACAAGGAGAGGCATCCTGTGCTTATCTCACTCGCCAATATCCATGCAGGTGTCCGCATGAAGGCAAAATCCCACGCATTCGCTTTGGTCGCTTACCTTCCTATCCCAAAGTTTCTCAATGTCTTGAAGCCTGTACAAGCAATGTTGTCTGCACGAGCCTATCATTTTGCCATGTCGACCGTCATGAAAAATCTGAAGATAGCCGTTCACGATGGTTGCCTTATGTTGGACCCACGAGGTGACATGCGCATGATCCACACTCCTTTAATTGCATGGATAGCCGACTACCCTGAGCAACTGCTCATCGCGTGCATTACATTGAAATGTTCGCCAATTTCTCTCGCTTTATCCACACAATTTGAAGATCCCTCACCATCTCACACTCTCAGCGCTATTGCAAGGGCATGCACTACTTCTGACCCCTGTGATATTGCAGCCTTTCACAAGACGTTGTAGGGATTCATTTCTGGTTGGGCTTGTAGAGACTGTTTTTACCTTACCTTATGTTGGCACTTTTGTAGCTTACATAATCAAGCAATCTTTTCACCAGTTACCAGTATGAGTCTGAGAGATCAGCAAGTTTTTATGATATTTCCTCTCCTCTGAGCCTTGAGCCTGGTCCAGAAACCCTTTAGGGTCGAATAGCAGCTAGGTTCTGCAAGACCCAACACATTGTTCAGACTCACCATCTGAATTGTTGTACCTTCAACGTGTCAGTCCCTGCATCTCAATGGCATAATCAAGCCATTCTGGGGGGACTGGGGGGTCGCATGTCCATCCTACTTTTTGACCCCGGATGGTCTCCACCAATGGCACAAGTTCTACTTCGATCATCCTTTAAATTGGGTGATCAACATCATGGGAGGAGAGGAACTTGACCATCGCCTATCAGCTCTTCAACCTCATGTAGGAGTGCGCCATTGGGCAAACAGTGTCTCCACGCTGAAGCAGTGCACTGGTAGGGAGCATCGAGACCTAGAGAAGCTTTTGCCTGGTGTCATTGTTGGTGCTGTTCCAGATCAAGTCGCATGCGCAATACATGCTATTACAGAATTCATATTTCAGGCCCAAAGCCTGTTCCATTGCGACGAGACCCTACACTCCCTATCTGAAGCCCTTTGGGAGTTCCATCACTATAAAAGCAGTATCATTGCAGCAGGCAGTCGCCGTGGCAAGAACAGCCCTCTCAATCACTTCGATATTCCGAAGCTAGAGTTAGCACAACATGTCATTCGAAGCACCCACGCTATGGGTGCTCCGTATCAATGGAGCAGTGACATTACCGAACGGTGTCACATTACTCACGTTAAACGACCTTATCGCATGTCAAATCACAAGGATTTCCATGGTCAGTGCTGCCGCTTCCTTGATCAGCAGGAAAAGCTACAATTTTTTCAGCTATACACAGTTCTCAAGTCGCAACGGGCAAGCTTGATCTACGAAATGTCCAGGGAGGCGAATATGATGACGCTTCACTACCCCGAGGCGACATGGATTTCTACAGTTCTTCCTGATGAGCGGTACATCAGTGGAAGCAAACCAATCACTTCACTGTTTGATAAAGACCACTCTCGTATATCATCTGATGATGCCATCGCCATCTTGCTCACTTGCCGCCCTCATTATCCTAAGTTATGTATTGAGGAGGCTTCTCAAATTTTTAACATTCCTGATCTTCGTCCCGCGTTGGGTGATCTGATCTCTTGCAGATCTTACCTTCAGTGTCATGGACGACGAGTTTCATCCTCCAACTGTTCCCTCTCATTTCACCATGTTCACCTTTGGCAAAATTTCCGCATGCAGCGACGCTCTATCCAAGATTCGCATGTCGTTAGCCCCCCTCAGACTATTCAGGCGCTACCACCAAGTCCTTCAATGATGTTCGGAAGGGGAAACACTGTTTTGATTAGTCACAAAAGCAGTGAATTATTTTCCCTCGCATCATCTAACCATTTAAAGCTTTGTAAAGCTGAGTGCAATTATGATGGATATTATATCAATTTTATGCTAGACAAAGCTTTATAATGCTATGTTATTCTCAGGTCAATTGCCTGATGTACTACCACCCATGATACTATGACGACTTCAAATTGTATAGTAGTACTACTGTTGGCAATGAAATATACTGTCACGTGTTTGAGATATGATTATCGTACATTTGAGATATGATCATGCATTTGAGATATGTCACTTATTTGGCATTATGGCACGTCCAAAATTCCCCGAGCACTAACAGAGCCTTTATTCTTAAGCGATGCTACAGGATGCTACAGGCTGCTACAGTCAATTGGAAAGAAGCGCTGTGCTACAATCACTTTTGCTCGGCTGTGGGTTCCCTGATGTTCTCGTATCGCAAACCATCCTTCAGTGACTTGATGCTCTCCAGTTAGCAAACTGCGCATTGCAAACACAAACAAATTTGCCAATCACTGAAGGTAACTTTGTCTCACGAGGATTGCGCCCCAAAGTTACGTAAAACTTGTTGGGGCCAAATTTCTCGCTCCCCACCTTTCTCACTCCCCACCATCTTCCCACCTCCAAGTTAAAGGTCTCGCCACTTTCCTCCATTAGTTCCGTCTTGTGAGTGTCTCCAATCTCGTGCGTCGTTGATCCGGTATGATTATACTGACCACACGAGTTTATAATAGCGGGATGGTTTCATGTTTAGTCTGTATCACAGACTGTGTTGGGACAGTGTGAGGCTGCAGTAGGTCACAATAACATTTTTATGTGCATATATTCATATCTAGTGCAGAAATATGATGAGGAGATGACAGAACTTATAGGTTACTGTTTTTAACAGAAACCTCACATCAGCTCAGCGCGAGGTAAGTCGCTGGTCTCCATGCACCGACTTGCCGATGAACTTATTCACACTAGAAATATAAAACTGAGGACTATTGGTGCGTGACTTTTGTTTGTTTGTGATGCAGTTCTAAACTGTTCGCTCGCAACAGGTCGCCAACAATTCCTGGACTTCCGGGACCTGCTTACTATGGAAATCTCACGCTGGCTCAACGAAAGACACCACTACTTTATTTCAGGCATCCAACAAGACCGCTTACGATGGAACAATATACTAGATCCCGATCATTCCAGCTCGACTTCAAGTTCTCACAAACTCCTCGCATATGGACCTCTCTCGGATTCTTATCACTTCCTATTCCTTCCCTGTGTGTTCTAACCATGTTTTCTGTGTATTCACCACTCCTGCTTTCTATTAGTATCCCATTTCGAGTGTATTGATACCTAGTGTAATGCATATCATTTGTCATTCCATCCGAGCACATTTACAAGGCAACTGCTGTGCGCACATATGGTACTATTCGAGCATATTGTGAGATAGACCATCATATGTTCAAATATGATTGGAAAATGTTCGTGCAAAGAAACACATAAATGAACATCTGCGAGTTTGCCCTGTCTTATTTGAAACGTGATATAAGTTTCACACTCTATAACATGTGATGAGATCTGTTTTATTTTTGACCACCGCAAAAATCACATCTCAACATCTCTGGACCTTTCCCACCAGAGCACGTTTTCACTGGGAGTACTGATCGATCACTAACTGTGGTACCTGGTAGACTGTGAAGTCGTCCGAAAGACCGGGCTGGGGGTATGATGATAACATTTTCTCGAGTATGGATGCGGCTACAGTAGTAAGACAGATATCAGGCCTTCGGGCCTGAACATTTATCATCCAACGAAATGATGATTTCAAAAAGTCAAATGTCCTGTTCAAACATATATACATAGTGCTACTAGTCCAAATAGTCTTCCGTCTTGGATAACCTACTCCTCCTAATTGTCTACGATGGTAGAGTGTCCAACAAAAGATTCAGGATACCAAGGAAAGCTGATGCTGACACGCACGCTAAGACAAGGGCACCAATCCAGGCACCATTATTGGCTGTGGTTTCAATAATCACATCATACGCTGCGCCTCCCCTGCTAAATACGCTGGAATTGCAGAAACACCTATCGTAAAAGTTGGAGTACTGGAATACGCACGCCAAGATCACCAGGAAAAAGTTTACTATGGCGAGCAATTTGCCCGTCCACCGCAGGACATGTGAAGACACTAGGGCAACATGTGTGGATAGCGATACTCGGTGGCGGTCAGCGGCGGAATACTGGGCGAGGATACTGGACACCAGGAGCATCATCCAAATCAAAGTCAAAATGGCCCCGTAAATGAGATAGCCCATAAATCGACACCCAATTTTCTGTCAGACATTAGCCAATTTGATCACAAGTGTACACAGGAAGACCCACTGTTGTAGGAGTGAACCATGCCACCACAAGTGCTGCCCCAACTGTTCCCCATTGTAATCCTAGCGAAGCGCAGGAAGCGAAAAACATTCTTGTGAACACGCCAGGTGCCCAATGGCTGCATACAATCTGCACCCCATTAGGTTCCGCGCAATACACTGGCACTGCGATGTGTTGGAGGGATTCACATCAGTTCCTATCATGAATGCTTTGGGTAGTGTGGATGAATTGGATGGTCTCGATGTTTTCGGTATGGTTGTTAATGTCAGATGTGTACCCATCACTCCCGCACACGGGAAGATGGCTATAGGCCTTCTCCGATGCCTCTGCGTCCTATTTGAATACCATGAAGATAGTCTCCACTGTAGATGCCCATCGCAATAAACGTGAGTAATTGAACACCGAAGGGGTGAGGAGTTCGTCTGGAGACATCACATCATCCTCTTTAGCAGTTATTGCCAACGCTCTCTGGGATGATGCCGAAAGTGCCCCAACACGGACGTCTGCTGTTCCTGTGTGCATGTTGTGCCTGTCTGCATGGTCATATGCAGCTTGTAAGCGATTGAAGTCGTATTTCGGGGAGAGCTGCAACCATCCGACGACTATTGGAATCAACCACAACCACAATGAGCCAGTGGCCTCTCCGTTGGATTGGAAGTCTGCTTCATTCGATGGTGAGTTGGCAACAGTCAGGATATAGGCGATAATGACCCATGCAATGGAGGTTGCAGACGCAATTGACCACATATGGGTGTAGTCCACAAATTCAGCAAGACACTTCCACCAGTTATTTTCCAGAAGGATGAGAGATGGCAAGCGTTCGTGATCAGGATGCAGTCTGAGAGGGACTTGCTGAAGACCGCTCAAGATGGAGAGCACGAAGTGTGAATTGGGATGATAGTTCAGCGAGTCAAACTGGTAGGCGATCCAGCGAGAGTTGAGGAGGGTGAGGAATAGAGAGTAACCAGCAAGTGTCGGTGAACCAACAGTTAACACAGCAGACATGAGATTATCAAGCCTGTACTGTGCGCCAAAGGGGAGCTGTGAAATCAGTGCAATATTTGGCAGCAGCCATGCACTGAATTCTTGCGAAAATTCAGGCCACTGAAAACCTTCTTGTCCAGTTCCGCACCAGGATTTACACATCAAGTAGGTGATCGCTGTTGCATCAGAAACATTCGACACAGGATATCCGGTATTGTTGAGTAAACCATACAAGTCTTGGGTAGAAATTGCATTCAGAACGATGTTGTTCAAACACTGAGAGAAGTTGGCTGCCGCAACGACTGTTCTGGAAGCGTGCACCAGTAGTAGTAACAGAGCTATGAACAAGTATTAAATGAGACACCCATAAATCTGTAATCCAGTCATTGCACTTACCTGCCTGAGAGCCTTTGTGCAAGCGCATTGGATTAGTTGTGTCAATTATGTATGTAGGGCAGCCTGAAATAAATTGGGGTGACTTACTGGAGATAGGTGTTTCTGTCTTTATACTTGAGTGCACACTGTCGAGCTTCTGCTCACGAGATCCAGGGGGCAGTGTCACTGCAACTTGTTCGGTGATGTCCAATGAGAATAGTGGCAGTCGATGTGGCTGAAATGACAATATTAAGGCCTATCTCATTAATTATGGCTATGAAGACCTGACCTGCGCATCTGTCAAGAAAGTTTTGTCTACCGAATTACTAAAAAGGTAGTGTACGGGTTACGACGAACACACTGTTTACATGAATATCACTGGTTTCTGGTGAATCCCTCATATCTTTTTTTTATTCGAATATCTACTGCCAATTTTGATGACCGATGACACCGGGTATGAAGCAGACATCGCCATAGTAGTGAGGAAATAGGAGACAGGACGCAGCATGACGTGGTGGATGTAATGGATGCTGGTGATGTAACAGTTATAATAGATGATACCCAAACTAGTTGCCCATCAGAAGATGCCATCAAAGATCTGTTGTGGATTTGAACGAGCTGGCTCGGCTCGAGCCCGATAGATCGGACACAGCCAGTGCAAGGTGGTTCTAATTGGTCTCACTTAGCCTCACGGAAGCGCAGGCTGCGAGGATTAGCCAGCATAAGGATTTTCCCGGACGTGAGCCCGGGAAAATCCGATGAATAGACAAGGTAGCTAAGGACAAATAGCGGAGACCATAGATAAAGATAAAGAGCAACTCCAGGATGCGCGAACGTGCGCGCGTTCGTGCGTGAAAAGAAGCCATAGTGTGTGTGTATGGGAGGGAGGGAGGGCAATAAGTATTGATGAGGGTAAAGATAGAAAATAAGACAAAACATATCTTTTAAATGATGGGATCATTTTTTGACCTCCCCCAGCGCATTCCGAGGGGGTTCAAAGGGTAGAATTCGAAGGTGAGGAACGCAAGACAAAGCTTCCCTAGCCTTGTTGTGGGATAGATGATCTGCGACGACATTCTTGTCTCCAGCAATGTGAAATACACAGAAGTCGACCTCTGTGGCAAGAATGAGGTCGACAACGAACATAAGGAGCTGATTATAGCCAGTGCTCCCTGAGAGGAAGCTAAAAATGCTAACAGTGTCGAGACTATCAGTGAAGACAGCCAAACGATGACCCGGTGGGAGTCGTGAGAGCGCATCGTGGATTGCTGAAGCAACGCATAATGCTTCAAAAAAGAAAATATCTTTTACCGGTGCGCGATCTGGAAGATTAGATTGAAATCCTAGATGTAAAGAGGGATACCAGAACCCCATGCCGACTCCTGATGCGTCACAATATACACGCAGAATGTCTGGAGCGTTCACTATTTGACTAAGGTTCCAGGAAACGGATTTGAGGAAGTATACCCCATTTGAACGTTCAAGATGCTCTGCCGCCCAGAGTATCTCAAGTACAATTCAATGGTTGAGCCATACGAGTGCTTTTGACTGTGTCTTTCCCTTCATCTTTTGATAGAGCGCCGCAAGTCCAGGTCGCAGCATAGGAGCCACGTTGAGAGCCCAATTGAGTGATCCGGCGACATGTTCACACTCCCATAGGGTTCGTCGATGGCGATGTCGTGCAAAAACTCTTAACTCGTCAATGAGCTTCCTTTTAGCCTCATCACGAAGCGTGATGCGCATAAGTTGAGCATCGACGTCAAAACCGATGACTGGCAGAGGTGATCTGAAGACTTGCTTCCGCTCCTCGTGAGGAATCCCGAGTTCATCCCAGAGAAGGAGAAGCTTGACCATGTTCCGAGGCAAAAACTTTTGATACTTGACATAGAAGAGTTGATCGTGTTCCTCGGCATATGAAAATGACTCGTCGACATAGATATAGGCAAGAATGAAGCGGGCGAAGGTAGCCAACCAGATGACAAGGGACATGAAAGCGTGAAATATACGTTGGGAGGCACGTCCTCCAAAAATGTTTGCCCTGTCAACGTGTTGACGTCCTTCAAACGAAACAACTTGTTTGATTTGCCATAGCGGATGCATAGGCATGTGCCGGTATGCCTCAGAAACGTCTGCCTTCCAAATGACTATTGGGCCGTCTCCTTCGTGTTGCCTGTACTGACGTAGTGCGTTCCCCAAGTGTTGAACGTTATCCAAGGTTACTCCGGCAATATTGGCTTTAGCAATCATAGAATTGAGAGAGAAAGAACCAGCGCTGTGGTTGGTTACCAGTCTATACTTTCCTCCTTCCTTTGGTACGGCGTGTATGGGCATGGTGTACATTCCAGGCAGTAAGATTGGACCAAAGTCCGCAGAGTATTGTCCCACTCGTACTTCTTTCGCAATCTGATCATGAAGAAACTCCCGCTCTAGAGAGACTGTGGGCACAGGAGTGGCTTCCTCCCATGTAGTTGGATACTCGCCATAGTGAGTGTCAGCCCAAGGCCAGAAACCTTGGCGAAGACCTGTGCAAACAGAAAGATAAAAGTCCAGGTTAGGATGACCCGCCTTTTCTAACATAGACTGAAAAACGTCGACTTTGATGGGAGTGTCAACTCGAAAAAGATCCGGACGAGCGTGAATAGTGCTAATGGCTTCGACATTGAGGAATTCAGATGCAGGGGGGTTGGGTAAGGCTTCTGCTGTTTCGGTCCAAAGCGCCGTTGGACTGATTACCGTCGTTCGTTTATCCCAAACGAAGTGATGTCAATACCGTTGGCCTCTTGCAATTGTTTCATTTACCTCTTTTGTCCGATGGGCACTCTCCCCGCTTATGATTCCCCCTGCAGCTTCCTCGGTCGCATACATGGAAGTAGAGACACTCCCTGGCCTCTTTCTCGCACTCTCCTCGGTTCCACTTATGACAGGGTTCACCTCTTCCACCTCTGGTTTGGCTCTTTCCTCCAGCAGAATCTTTGACCGTTTTGATCCCTGAGTCATGGGAGCTTTGCATCGCGACCATTCCAAAGGCTGAAAGGTGACTGGACTTAAGCCCATCAAACCTGGTGAAGTCATCAAGACGGAGGAATTTTTGTTGCTCGACAAGGAGTCGAACGGCTCGGTCGAAATCGAGGACTCGCTCATGGACTGTGTAAAAGTGATTCCCGAAGATGTCGGACATGCACTCTCAATATTCCCTAACTTCCTCTTCTCGCCACGGCATGATGAAGGTGAGTGCGCGGGTCCATATGTCAGTGGCGATTCCCCAATCTCCGGCTGATTTAACCTTGTGGCTGACGGTAGGTTGGGAGAGCGATAGCTCAAATCCCTTCCCAAGCGACTGGGTTTGTTTTGAGTCGATGGCTGTGGAATATCGTCCGGTGAACACTTTGTCAAGGTCAACGGCTCTTCCCTCAAGCAGCAAGGTCCATTGCGAAGTGGGAAGTTTTGGGCATCCAGGGGTAGTTGTAACTTTGGTCCGGTAATACTTGGGATCGTCAGACCATTCTTCGTAGCATCGCAGGGCCATCTCAATTCCCTGCAAGCGTGAGAGGAAGCGAAATTGAGAGGGATCAATCCATGGACAGAATTGAAGTTCATCGTCGGTAAGTTTCCGACGCTTTCCGCGTATGATTCTACTGCTTCCTCCAGACTCTGATTCCTGTTCATCAACTTCGGTTTCTTTGCTACGTGCTCTTCCCCTCCTAAATGCTCTTCTAAACATCTCCTCTTCCGGTTCTCGCGACTCACCACGTTTATCCATACGTGTCGGTCTTGGACTTCCTCAAAAACTTTCTGATTCTTCCTCGGATCTGATGGAATCGAGGACTTCAAGATAATGTGCGAATCCGCTATCAAAGGATGGGTCTCCTTCACGTGTGGCTTCAGCAAGTACTTGTTGGACGCCCAGCACGGCTTTGGCTTTTGAGATTTTGTCCCTTCTGAAATCGAGGACAACTTTGAGACATCGTTCAACGACTTCAGGATTGAAGGAGGTGCTATGACTTTCCGCGGATTCTCTTTGGGGCGAAGAACGAGTTCGAGAGGAAGATTGTTCATAATCCGACATATATGAGCTTGTAGAAGTGATGTTTATTAAATCTGACGAGAAAAATATGCTAGTGCAATGATGGGCAAGTGAGAAGAGGCCAACACGAGAATACTCCTTGAAGACATACCTAGTGCGATGACGGGCAAGTGAGAAGAGGCGAGGACCTCCTAATTGCCTACACGCACTAGGAAAACAAAAAACGAATCTCCGCCAGGACAGAGATTGCTCAGCATATGCATCATGCCGAGAGCGCCCAGAGCGCGTGCCACAATGGCAAAGGGGTAGACCCCGGGTCAGCCTGCACATGGGAAAAACTCGAAAGTATCGACCAATTAGACTTGTGTAAAGAAGAGATTAAACTCGAAAAATCTTGTTTGGACCGTACATATGCCACTTCGTATGGCGCTATATCTGCACATTTATTATTTGCGCGTTCCGCGGCTTGCGCGCTGTGCGTTTTCGTCAATCCAGAGTGGGCGCGTTTTAATCAAGAGATTCCGCATTCCCGCACTGCGCGTTTTCGCCAATCCAGAGCTGGCGCGTTTTGATTGGACTCAAAACTCAACTTGAAGTTTCCGCCATGATAATTATGATCTCTACTTTCCTTCAAGCAATTTGAGACTCGGACCACTGCAGTATAGTATTTGTACTGGTACAAACATCACTCTATACAATTGAACCACGACGAGTCTACGTCGTACGATGGATGAAGTCCTTGTGGTTGAACATGAGTAAAACTAACATGAGTACTGGTAAGACTATGGCGAAGGAGGCTCAGGCTCGAAAACCAGTTTCTCTACTAGGAAGCTGCGAGTCTCAGAAAGAAATTGTTCGGCGTGCTTGAATGCCGCTCCCTGATTGAGAATCTTGAACATGAGGTCTTTGCATCCTTCACTGACACGTCCAAACTGCGGTTCCTTGAAGTGTTTGACGGCGTCGTCATACGGCTGTGGATTCCTACCATCAAGAAGAAACCGGCCCATACCATTCCACCAAATTGCGTGCCAGTCCTCGTTGCAACCAGTTGGGTCTTGACACTCAGTGCAAGATCTGGCAAACACTGTGGAAAGTTGTGAACAGGTAAGCACTACCATCTGTGAGCATGCGAAACACACGTACCAACTCATTTTGATTAGCAACTAACTACATGGTACCATTGGCAGAAAAACCCTGCTCGCCTGGGCTGCACGAGTGGTGTTAAAGGAGCTTTGAAGTTCGACACTGTGTTAGCTGGTGGTGTAGAACTTAAGGGGACCTGGGCACCGCAAAAAATAGACATTTACTCCTATGAATACTATGGAGAAAAAGTCAAGGACACTGCAGGCGCCAAAATCAGAGTACAGAATGTTACTGACCGCGGGCCAAAGCTGAATAAGCGCCATGAGGTGTCTGTGTTCAAGTGAGTGATGCGTGATCAAGTTGATGAGGAAGTGCGCTTACCTAATATTATGAAGCTATCACGTTGGCGAACTTGAGAGTGGGGCACAGTTTGATCAGACTTACGCCAATTTTGATGTGGTGCAGGCTGCATTTCTAGCCTTCAGTCAAAGACGCTCTCGGTACGTCAATATAAGTGTCAGTTCGAAAGCATGCACTGACCTTTTCATTAGCATTTGAGTCGACACTGCCCCAAGACTCAGACGCTGAGGAGGCAGAAGATTCATCATCAGACTCGCATGATGGTTCAGACGAGGAGTGGGCAAGCTGCCATTCCCTTGTTTTTGACGGAATCTGGGCCATCGACAGGCTCTCAGCCATTTCCATTGACTCAACTTGCTCAGTCCAATAGCCTCAGTGAGTTTTCCATTCGTGCTACTTGTTTAAAATTTAACCTGTGCTGTTGTTGCCAGAAACGGCGTCGTTTCGTAGCAGTCCACTCGGAGTGCCAGCTGGTACTGCCATTCAATTCCTAAAGTCGAAGAGTGCATTATCATCCCCACCCGAATTTGTGTCAGTCAGCGAGGCGGATGTCTTGTGTCGCAGTCGATCACATGTTGATGACCCTTTTGCACCGGAGCAGATCAATCCCTGGGATTCTCACTATTCCATGAAGCCCACTAACCTCCAGCTCATGTTAGGAGGGTCGGTTACCGTTTCCCAAACAATGTTTGACAAGTGACCGGGTCTAGTATTTGTTGATGACAGGCATGCTAATTTGGTACTAGTTTTTGTCATTTCTCGTGCATTGCAGTACATACCATTATCTCATCCTCATCCTCATCTCATTTTGTGGGTCCATCAAAACAGTATGTATTTGAAGAAGAAAAACTATAATACTGCGTGAGCCGCTAAGTTGGCTCCGCACAACTTGAATGACTCGGTTAGTAGAGACTTGAACAAGCAAACGCGCAGTGCGGGAATGCGGAACCTCTTGATTAAAACACGCCCACTCTGGATTGACGAAAACGCGCAGCGCGCAAGCCGCGGAACGCGCAAATAATAAATGTGCAGATATAGCGCCATAACTTCGAGGATGTCGTGGCGCTGCTCTCCCGCGGACATTATGTAAGCACCAGGTATCGATTGTAGAGCTTCATTACCGATTTTTGTACCTCCCTCTCCAAGTCGCAGTTATATCTCATCACTCATTACTGTCATCCACTCCTGCGCATACAGCTTCTCGTATCGCAACGTTTCGCAAACCGTCCCTGACTTGATGCTCTCGATCATCCGGTTAGCACGGATTCCTCCCTAATCCTGGTCGGTGATCTTCCCAGTGCTCGGTGCAATCACACCAGCGTTTATCATACCGGACAGTTCTCGACCATATGGAAATACATGCGCAACATGACTTGAAACCTCACCCGAACTCCATCCACAGTTCCCATATCTTTTTCATCTTCCTCTCCCACTCAGCCCATCCTCGTCCATCGCACGTAGTACCATGTTTGGTGGCTTAGAATGCCGACATATCAGACTTGAAGCCGATTCTTTCCATATTACCTTCGTATCTGTTTCACGATCCTCACACTCTATTAACGGAAAGAATATTCAGGCTCGTTTCAAGTGCATTCCCGATGGCATCTACATATCCATCAATGTCGACTCTCTGAGACGCCGGAAATCGGAAATTGACCATCGGTGTCTTATCATCCAATGAATTTGTAGCATTGGGGAAATACTATAACTCTGTAAAGTCATTGAGACTCCTGACGTGATATGAGAACTGATCTTTGGTTTACAGTTCACCACATGTCTCATTTGCGCTGCCAGTGGAGATCAGGGCATTCTGTGAGCTTGGTTTGATGTGAGTGAATCTGGACTCTGCCCTGTGAGCTTTTGCTGATGAATCACTAACTGCGGTCCTTCATAGACTGTGAAGTCGCTTGACACGCGAATGCAGGCCACGCACAATTTGCCAAATATGTGGCGAGCAAGACAGTCCCACCTGAACGACTCTGTAGAGCATTTTCAGTTGGTTCTGGACCAGTGTCCGGTCAGCTATCCAAACCACGTGATGGCTCTCACCAACCTTGCGTATGCGCGCCTTCAAGGGTATATTCGCACTTCAAACATCGACTCCATCACTTTCCTCTGCCGCGATGCCCTTGCATTGCGTCGCAGGACCGTCAATTTGCTCGTCCTCAGCTTACTAGATTCGGGCTGCTCCAGTTTCGTTTCTGGTTTGCAAGTCAAAGCATGGTGTTCGCGCGTCCTAGACCTAAAACAAGCCGAGGCTTCAAGGAAGCCCCAGACTCTGGAAACTCGGGTCTGGCGACAATCCTGTCTCGAGGAAAGGGATGATATCGGCGAGTATGACGCAATTGCAAAGCTTGTCCAGAATCCAGATAACGATGATGAACACTACGTTTCTTCAAAACCTCGACAAGTTTCTATCAAGCCACGTCGGACAGCCTTAATATGCAGCTAGCGCCGTGGGCCATCTCGGAGTTCATAGCTTCATTGAGCCTATCTCTTGCTCACGTAGCATGTTAGGTCTTCGTCAATGGTAAAATGTATTCTTACTTCTTGCAAATACTATGGGGCGCAAAAACCTCTTTCGGACTTTCTGGCAAAACTAAAAGGCTACATCCGGATAAGTCAGTATTTAGAGTCTGCGGCTCAGTATCAAGCGCGTTCAAGACTTGCCCACATTCTCACTAATATTGAAATTCCTCTCTTCCATGTCGCAACCTAAAGGCACCGCTATTGTCACAGGAGCCAGCCGGGGAATTGGCCGTGCCATCGCACTTCGCCTTGCTGACGATGGCTTTGATATCGCTCTGAATGACATTGCAACCAAGAGCATAGAATTGGATGTTGTAGCCAGTGACATTAATGGTAAGGGACGACGAACGATCGTTGTTCCAGCAGATGTATCGGTGGAAGATGAGGTTAGAGACATGATCGCAACCACTGTTCGCGTTCTAGGGGGCGTTGATGTAGCAAGTCTTCCTGAACACACTTCTGATAGCATTAGCTAATATCGGGCAGATGATAGCTAATGCCGGGATAATCACATTTGGCAACGTCTTGGACGGTAAGTGGCCATTATGTGGCACCAACGTCCACCGCAGTTATACCTGTACCCAGCCGACGTAGAAAGTTTCGATGCCACTTTCTCTGTGAATGTCCGAGGGACGCTCCTCTGTTATAAGCATGCTGCCCGGCAGATGATCGAGCAAGGACGGGGCGGAAGGATTATAGGCGCATCATCAATTGTCGGGAAGAAAAGTACAATGTTTTACTTGCCTGTTCAAATGGCATTCTAACTTACCTGTGATACAAAGGTGCCAAGGATTTTATTGCGTATAGCAGCAGTAAATTTGCTGTGAGAGGGCTCACTCAGGCTGCAGGTGAGATGATGATAGACATAGAACGAGTAATGGATAACCGATTCCCTTGATTCTCCGCAGCTATGGAGCTTGGTCCTCACAGTATCACCGTGAACTGCTATGCTCCAGGGCCCATCCAGACAGAAATGTGTGCGCATTAAAGTGTTTGTGTAGTCCGAACAATGTCCGAACCCACCTTCAGTGCGGACTTTGAGAGAACAAAGAGAACGATGGACAGTTGAACAGGGACTTGATCCTGGTTCGATTCAACGAGTAAGACGCGAGTTGATTGTGCAGAGTTATACATTTCCATGGTTTTTCGCATCAGGTCCAGACAACAGTTGGGTACGAGGGTACTCCAGAAGATATCGCAAGTATCGTCTCCTACCTCGTGTCGAAGGAGGCGCATTTTATAACTGGTGAGTTTCGAGTCTCAGTCAGTGGGACATCAGGGCTAATTGGATACCTGATGTTATATAGGGCAGAGCGTAAGTGCACTTGGAAACTCGTCAAACCTGTTGATAACCTCGACACAGGTCTCCGTGGATGGAGGTCTCTTTTTCACTTAGGCTGCAGCCGGAGTCAGGGACAAAAAAGATTATTGCCTATTGTTAGCATAATCAGGCACAAACTGAATTGATTCTGGCCAAATCTCGTACGAATTGCGTCAGATTTACGTCTGGGTCACGTACTTTGGGCCGCGACCCACGTTTGAAATTTATTGATTATCCTCGTATGATCTCGTTGTAATCCGATTTAGCGCGAACATCGGACGATTAGATATGGAATAGTACTCAACTTGAGCTGTCACTGCTCTCCTCTGCTTGACGCCGTCTTTGAATCCAGCTCTTCTCTCTTCCACCATATACCTCGATTTTACTCAATATGCCTCGTCAATTCTTTGTCGGTGGAAATTTCAAGATGAACCCTGTTTCACGGGGTCAAAAGGAATCTATTATCGGTGTCCTTAACTCTGCCGATTTGGACAGTACGACTGGCACGTATTTTCCTTGCATCTATGAGACCTTCAGCTCATAGAGATTGATGCAGAGATCGTCATTGCGCCTCCGTCACTTTATCTCATCCCACTCAAAGACACAGTGCGGTCGGAAATACAGGTCTCTGCTCAAAACTGCTACCACAAAGATTCAGGAGCATTCACTGGTGAAATAAGGCAAGTCAACAGAAAGCCTGAGTTGACTTAATCTTGAACTTTCTTTCAACATTAGTCCTGCGCAACTCGTCGACGCCAGTATCCCGTATGTGATTCTGGGTGAGTGGTTTATAAACTTCCATGGGTGTCGGCTGAATTATTTTAGGCCACTCTGAACGCAGGACCCTCTTCCATGAAACGTCTGAGTTCATTGCCCAGAAGACTAAGGCTGCTTTGAATGCGAAGTTAAAAGTCATCCTTTGCGTCGGTGAAACCCTTCCGGAGCGTGAAGCAGGGCAGACTGCAGAAGTCGTTCAGAGGCAGTTGCAGGCCGTCGTCGATGTGCTGCAGGAGAGTGACTGGAGGTGCGAACTTGAATAGTTGTGCTGTGCCATGCAGTGCTGATTAACAATGTTCCAGTGCTGTTGTGATCGCATACGAACCTGTATGGGCGATTGGCACAGGCAAAGTTGCCACATCCGCTCAAGCTCAGGAGGCTCATCTGGATATCCGCACGTTCCTCTCTCAGAAAGTGTCCCCCGCTGTAGCAGAGAACACCAGGATTATCTATGGAGGCAGTGTTACCGCTGCAAACTGCAAAGAACTTTGTACGTCCGCGGAAAAGGACAAACAAGAAGATACTGACTCTTTTTCAGCTACTCAACTCGACGTAGATGGTTTCCTTGTCGGAGGTGCTTCATTGAAGCCAGAGTTCGTCAATATCATCAACGCGAGGAGGAATTAGAGAGTGTGATGACTCTGCAATGTACGATAGCGCTTGATATTCAGATGAACTTGCCGATTATGTACTTAGACTTGCGAAAGAAATAGGATCACTGTAGATCGTGAATCAGTATGTTCAGGAATATTGATAGGTCTGACATACATGTAAGAGATATTCAATCGGAATTTGTACGCGATCGTGATTATGATGTAATAGTTCACTTTCCCAGCCAGGTCGTCTTTCGCATGTACGTACTTCAACACTATTCAACATACCCCAATCGTTATTTTCTGGGTCGCGTTCTAACTGATTGGAACTTGAATCTAATCGAGCACAGATCCTGTCGGGATGTTTCGGTCGCTTCTTGCACCATGGCAAAGTCATGAAGACCTCGCGCCTACTTCGCCTGCAATTAACATCATTGGTGGCGGTGCCCCAGATACCAGCAACAGTGGTGAACGTGTAGCCAAACAAACCATGCGAGATATGGTAGAGGACTTGAAAGTAACAGAGGCAGTAGTCGCGAAGACAACTGTGAGCCCCGTGTCGTTTTATGTTCAGTGGTCATGAGATACCCATAATCGCATCCTGTAGCTCCTGCAACGAATTGCTACTCTTGTTCGCGAAGTACCCGAAACGAAAGACGCGTTTCGCGATTCAGATGGATTTCTCTTACTGGTCCACGTGCTCTCTACACTGTCGACCACGATCGGACGACGAGGATCCCAATCGACGCGTGATGCCGTGGCTTGTATCAAGTCGGTTTTCACGTTGGCCTCTGAGGCTTTGAAGGGACATGCAATGAACCTTGAATTCTTTGAGGTGCGTTTCTTTGCGCCTGATGTTAATACTATCGTGACCTCGAGAACCAAGGAATTCATCGGTTACTCTTCGCTTTCCGATGCTGCGGACCTGCTAGTCTCTAACGCAGTGACAGCGGACGTGACGCTCGGGTGCTTGTTAGCTCTTTCATTTGGTGATTTCTCCCTCGTGAATTTTTTCAGCTCGTTACGAACAAAAGTGCCTGAGATCGAAGCGATGCACAGCCACTTCCTGGAATTTGCACCTGGTCTAGCCAGTATCAGGCTCCCCGGAGCATTCAGTGTTCTTTGGAGCTTCATTCTGCTGACAATGAACACGGATCACGCCTTGAGGCTCATCGTTTACCGGCTTCTAGAACATCTGACGCATAGCACACATAGAAACCTCGCCGTCCTAAGCATGCAAAATATCTTGCCGCATCTTTTCAAATCGTGGAAGACTAATATGAGCAGCACCAAAGATGACGATAAGGAGCACCGAATCCTAGCAAAAATTCTTCGGCGTCTTTTTGAAATGGGTGCTAGTACCCAAGACTCGAGAGATTTGCTGCATTGTACTGCGAAGCAAGATGGAACCGTAGATGCAGACATGCTCGAACTTCTGCGCTCAAGTGCGAAGTCGAGGTGGCCACAGCACTTCTCTCTTGGTGGCTGTTCTGCGCTAGCTATGTCGTCCACCGAAATGCAGACTTTCCCTGCCCATGGGTTCACATTCATGGTAGGTTATTTGATCTGCAAGGTTGCGATTGCGTCTAAATCGTGGGCAGGCCTGGATTTGGCTCGAAAGGATGCCTTCGGAACCACACAAGTTGTTCAGCATATCCTTTGGGTCCAACGATGCCGTAGCTCTCTCTGTCGGTAGCAACGGGGCATTAGCCTTCCGATCATGCGTCGTTCAAAAAGTTGAAGTGCTTCCGAAGTCGAAACTGGCGGCTTCTCGATGGACACACGTCACCCTTGTGCATCATAACCATAGATCATCGCATCCTTCCGTCTGTACGTGCTTTGGATATACTCTTGTATTCTTTTGACCCGCCGTGTTCCAGGCTTGTTCATTGATGGCGTTCCAAGCGACTCGCTGCAATGGGCATATCCAAAATTCGATGAGACGTCGCCTGCGACTTTCATGGTGGGTGATGACGTTACCGCAGTCGAATCTAGCTGGTGCGTGGCTTCTGCCTACGTGCTTTCGGTCGCGCTCGGTAAGCATTTTCTATTGGCAAATGGCTCTAATCACTTCAATATATGTAGATGACGACCTTCCGAGATTTATACACCACCTAGGCCCCCGATATTCTGAGTCATTCCAAGATCAGACTCTCATCAGGTTCCTGACGTACGAAGCGTCGACTTCGCTTAACATGCACATTACAACTCAAGGCGCATCACTACCTGAGAATTCGCAACTCAAGAAGGCCATTCGTGGAGATTCGATTATTAGCGATTCATCGATTATATTTCGTGTCGTCCCTCAACCGCACAATAAAAAGGACCAAATTGTAACTCGAGGCGATGTATTTACAGTATGCTGTCAGTCGCTGGACCTTGCCGTGTGGAGGATTGGCGGGGCGGCTTCATTGCTGCGACTAGTAGCACTTGCTCAAACGCCGCATGAACTTTCCAGAGCATTGAGCGTTTTTTCTGACTGTCTTCGCAACAGCTGGCAAAACTCTGATGACATGGAAAGGTTACGTGAGTACAGAATATGCGAGATCTTGCTTGTACTTGATTTTCGTATAGATGGTTATGACGTTCTTGCAAGCACGCTGAGAGCTCGAAGTCATCTCATAAACATGACTAGCTTTGAAACATTGTTTGAATTCCTTGGTCTGAATTTCCGTTCTCCAGAGTATGCCTGCCTTATATCTTAACATGCAAGGCACTGACCCTCCATCAGTTTATCCACTGTCGTCAACACCATCGCATACAAAGCTGTGGCACTTGACTTTGAGCTGTGGTCGAAAACCAGTGCCGACATTCAACGGGCTCACCTTGAACATTTCGCCTTCTTGTTGCGTGCCAGCCGATATAGACAGTTCACCATCAAGATGCGATTGTCGAAACTAGGCATCGTACGCAAGTTATTATTCGCCATTCAGTCAGTCTGGTACCCGCAAGAATCTATACCACTTGTCGTCAACACATTGGTGCTTGTTGCACAATCATCGTTTACAGCGGAGGAAGTGATCAAACCAATCGTTTCATACATAGCTGCCACCCTTGCTGAAGGTGAGTTATCTCATCTTCAAATCCCTTTCGTCCAATTAGATGTTTCCCAGAGTCCCGATCGTCGTCGTCGTCGTCACCTAGATCAACAACATCCCGTAGAGACTTGCTACAATCTAGTACCAGGGATAAAGCCGAGCAAGTCCTTGAGGGTCTTGTTTCCATGATGCGCATCCCTTCGCTTTACTCTAAGCTTGCTGGTACGCTCCCTATGCCACGGATCTGTTTGCTGTTACTTGGCGACCATCCTTCCGTACACACTGCTTGCCAAGTGCTTGGCATGCTTGGCCTCAGCCTAAAAGCCTCGGTATCATCTGGCAAAAACTTCGAGTTGGCCAGTGGTTGGGGCGTACTCAAGACTGTGTTGCCTCCAGTTTGGGATCGCAGTGTACATGATGCAGCTTTAGATATCCTGCCTGGGCGCTCTGGAGACAGATTCAGTGATGACTCAGGATCCCCTCAAATGGTGTCTGTGTTTCTCTTTGCGTTGTATCAAGGACTGTCGATTGAGAACAATAATGCTGAACCCGATGAAGGTGGGCCATCCGTTTAATGCCTTGATATTCAATTTCACTCTTCGTGCAGCTCCTTCAAAAGATGCGATCATCTGGATTCTCGATGACTTAACAAAGTTGCACGAATCGAGCTCATCATTCCGCCGCGTCTTCAGGTCCCAAAGCACTGCACAGCTACTTGTTGATGGCCTCAATATTTTCTCCCCCGTAAGACAGCCTCCCAGGGTGCTGGATGCCAAAATATCCGCCAAACTAACACACTTCGGACTACTTGTTGCGATGGGCAAGCACATATCTACGTCTCAAAAACAACAGGTATTCTATCCCTTTGTCATATGACAAGTCCTCTCAGACTGTATGCACAGATTCTTGATATCGTTCGCCCTGACGCTCAGCCAAAAGGGCGAACTGAGCCTGTGGACACTTCTGGGTCACGACTCGGGCTTGCTCAAGCAGACACAGTCTGTAAAGCGTCTGCGCGTCTTAAAGAATGGCGACAGACGATTCTTGTTTCGGAGCGCAAACGCTTCAGACAGACACTATTAGACTTGTGCTTAATTGTCCATGCTCCAGCGACCTCAAGATGTACTGACTGTTGTTATAGGCAGGAAAAGCGACGTAGAGTCGCATCTTTTGAAGAAAATGTATCTGTATCGACGACCGAACGCGATATTTGGTCCCACTCAGCTCGGAAACGCGTGTGGAAATTGGACGAGACCGAAGGACCGCACAGAGTTAGGTCAGTGAGTTTTTCGCTGTTAGAGGCAAAGCAATGATATCAGCCAGGACAAAGATGGAGAGCCTCCTGGAAATGTTTGTGCAGGACTCGAGGTCTACTGGTCATGAGGAAGCTTCGTCAGCTTTTGATTCAGAGCTGTTGTCGCTGTCCCAGTCAGAACTTGCTTCTCCGAATCCCGTGGTTGTTCCATCTTATACAGGCGAAGACGGTTGTTCACTTTCGATGCTTTATCAATTTTGACTAACATTGTTTCCAGGCGATCATCAGCTCGCTGAAGAGGTAACTGAGGACAAACTCAGGAGAGTGAGGCATCAACTCGAACCTGGCGATGTCATTGAGGCTGTTAGCACTGTCTGCCGAGTATCCGGCGTCGATTCCTTTCGTAAGCGGTCAAACTGCTGACTTGCTCACTGGCATTCTCAATCGTTGATTCCTAGTTGGCATGTTGATCTTCGGGCGTACCCACCTGTACATGTTAGAAGGCCTCGTAGAGAATAGTGAAGGCGAAGTTATTGATGCAGGTGATGCGTCGGAAGGATTGTTCCTTATATCTGGAAGTGCCGTGGACGTTCGGAACTCGCAGCGGGCTCAACGATGGTATAGATAACACTTTTCTATTCTATCTTTTGTCATACTGAATATCTTCTGTGACAGGTCATTAGAGCAAGTTTCAGGCTTCTCTGACAGGATGTTCCTTTTCCAGGATGTAGGGTGAGATGCGTCACTTACTGCATTTCACTTTACTAATCCAGTCGTCAGGTTCGAGATCTTCTTCAAAGATAGCCGCACACTGCTGGTTATTTTCCTTGATAAGTCACGTCGCCAAGTGGCTTCCCAGATGCTTTTGTCGATAGCCTTGAAAATGAGGACATCCGACCCCAGTTTGACACCTAGATCTATTACACCCAAATCGCTTTTGAGAAGTAGATCATCCACTAGCGCAGTAGAAAAAGAACTCCAATTGGCGCAACAACAGTGGCAGAACAGAGAGCTAAGCAATGTGTGTGATGTTTACATCTCTTATTTCAACACTCACTTTGAACCAGTTTGGTTATTTGAGTATTCTCAATCAACTGTCAGGACGTACCCCAAACGATGCAACTCAATACCCCGTTTTTCGTCAGTGGCTTTTACCTCCTTATTCACAAGCAAACTCACGACGACTTTTAGCTTGGGTTCTCAATGATTATGTTTCGGAGGTACTAGATCTTTCATCTACTGATGTGTTTAGAGAGTGAGTTCGTAGACTCCAGATCGTAGACTCCAATTAACATAATAATTCAGTCTCACTAAGCCTATGGGAGCGTTGACGGCTGAGCGTTGTGAGGCTGCGGAAACTCGCTATACTAACCTGAGCAGTGTTGACGAAGAGCCATTCCACTACGGAACACACTTCAGCTCGTAAGTTTGTTCTATTTGCCCATATTTTTTTCTTGACACCGAGTACAGATCGATGATCGTTTGCCACTTCAATATTCGCATGCAGCCGTTCACCAATATGTTCAAGACGCTACAGGTATGTTCCTCTTTGGTGCAGAAAAACATCTATTTATCCCCTCAGGGAGGAAACTGGGATTTGCCCGACCGGCTTTTTGCGTTAGTCTTTAGTTGGAACCAGGATGTGGGACAACATGTAATGATTTATACTTCAGTGATATCAGGAGAACATATTCTTCAGCGTCGCATGACATCCGAGGGGATGTGCGTGAATTGATACCCGAATTCTTTACTTGTTCGGAGTAAGTCCTCTGATTGCTCTGTCCCGTTCAAAATTGATAATGATTACTACGTTCAGATTCCTCGAGAATTCATCAAATCTCGACTTCGGTATATCTCAAACTACCGGAGAACGGATCCACAATGTTAAACTGCCTGCGTGGGCAAAAGGAGACCCGCTCCTGTTCATCGTAATGCATCGCCGTGTAAGTTTTACCATGGAAGATTGTTTTGATTAACTGATTCTATTCTGGTGCGTAAACAGGTTCTTGAGGGCCATTACGTCAGCAAGAATCTTCCTGCTTGGATAGATCTCATATGGGGATGCAAGCAACGAGACGTGGATTCGGTGAACGTTTTTCACCCTCTCAGTTACGAAGGCGCAATTGGTAGGTTTCTCTGTCGGAATTTACTTTTCGTTGATGGGCATGTACAGATCTGGACAAGATTACCAACGATCTTGAGCGACAAGCTACTGTTGGAATCATCCACAATTGTGCGACAGCCCTTGTACCAGTCACATGAAACAGTCAACTAATATAAATGCAGTCGGGCAGACTCCCAAGAAGCTCTTCACCTCACCACATCCACCACGAAATCTTGAAGGGTTCCTGAGTCTCCCTGTCACGATAGCCCGTGGTGTCCCTGAGGACGCACTTGCGTTAGCAAGAGATTCCAAGCCTTTCAAAGGCAAGTGTCCCATTTTCTTACTTCGTTCGTTTCAAGCTTTTAACTATTTGACGCAGTCGTGCTGGACAGTGCTGTGTCGAATATTTCCGTCGACCTGTTTGATGGGAAATATAGCGGTATCCGTCCGTCGCCTCTTGGAGCGATTGGCCTCCCTTCGATTAGTCATGAACAAATCGAATGGGATCAGAACGCGAGTGATCGCTCACTGCGATTAGTATCCCACGGAAAAGTACTCAACTTTTTGTTACGATGGTCTCAGCTAACGTAGCCCTCTCAGGTCACGCAAGTCATCGAGCAGGTAGCACTCACGTGTGCTGCCTTCGCAGACCAGGACACTCTAGCAACGGGTTCTGGTGATAATATTGTGCGTGTTTGGCGCGTCAACCAAGGTCAAGTTGCACCTTCGGGTTTTGTTGGAGCTTCGGGGCGGTCTCGCAGGCATGCATCTTCAACACTGTCGATGACGCATCTCCTCAGAGGACACACTGAACGTGTGGCGTGTATTGCAACATCGCGTACATGGTCCGTTATTGTCAGTGGCAGCAAGGACGGGAGTGCCATCGTTTGGGACCTGAACAGAGGGTCTTATCGGCATTCAATTTGGCACGGCAATGAAAGCATAAGAGCAGAAGTGTATCTATCTGCCATCAATGAGTCTACGGGATACATTGCTACTTGTTCCGTTTCCCACTTAATGTTGCACACAATCAACGCGAGACCAATTGCCAGACTCGACACTGCGCGCGCGCCGATTACTTCTCTGGCGTTCCATGAACGTGAATATTCGCATTTAGATATTCTTGCCACAGGTCACGACGATGGTTCAATCACGCTATGGACATGGAACGCAGACGGGACTCCAGCCGGAATGCAAGCGCAATGGGAGTTTGTTGAAGTTCGTCGGATGAATTCTGGACAGGGGGTATCTGATGTTGCTTTAGGATCTGTTACTGCGCTCAAGTTTATCGGGTATGGGGACAGTTCATTCCAATCTCAAAAAAGCTTGCTGACAAAGGTCACTTCTCCTAGTGAACGCCTTTGCGCTGGTTATACTTCTGGATTGACATATATGTGGACCATTCCTACTTAATGTCAATTGAAACATCGATTGTCGGACTTGGAGTAGAGATGATCATCCTTACCCGAAAGATGGGGAATACTGTAACTTGAGTACTTATTACTTCAAGGATTGCACTCAAATCGCATCAATTGGTTTAATGAATATTGAAATTCTGGCCATCCCATAAACGATAAACGATCTTTAATTGGCTGACTACGTTACTGATGTAACTCAGAGTCTATTACAGTGCTGATTATGTAATCGTTAGTTACTTTCTTCCTAGTGTCACCCCTTTGGTCACCCTTTTCAACAATTTTTGATGGTTTTGTATCTTGCTTGAATCATGTCTACTGCAGGGGAATCTCCTGCGGGAGAGTTGTCAGAGTTTGACACGCAATTTGAACCTCGGTCTAACGATGACGATGCTCTATGGGAAGTCATAGAAATCGTTGCCGAGCGGGGTAAGAAATATCGGGTTAGGTGGGCAGGCAATGATCCCAAGACGGGGAGGCCGTGGCCGTTAGACTGGGTACCCAAGCATGACTGTACAGATCACCTTGTAGAAGAGTGGAAGAGGAAAAAGGCTGCGAAGAAACGTCAATCGAGCAAGACTGGTAAGTGTCATTGTAACAGCAATAAGTCTGATCCGTATCATTCCTTCTATCAGGTGGCCAGAAAACTGCTTCACGCGCCTCGACGTCTTCGAAGGTTTCTGCGACTTCTACTTCCCGAAAATCACGCTCTCTTGCGGAAGAAAGCGTCCCTATTTTAACAGACTATGATGAACCTCCTCGTGCTCAGGCATCAACATCAAAAGCACAAGTCTCGTCTTCAAAGCGTAAACGTGCAGATATGGCAAAGGACCTATCAAGTTCAAGCGACTCGGTGGATCCTTCAGAGTCGGAGCATCCAAGGAAGAAGAAGAAACTCATCACTGCTGAACAAACCAGTACGAAGTTGAAGCGCAAGGGTACACAACGCGCCCCCGCTAACCACAGTCAATTTATCGAGTCAGATGCCGATGATAACGTCGTTGCATCAGGCGGAGTAGGCGATGGAATTTCAGTCACCAGAGTTGGTCCGCCTAGAAAACGCGCCGTGCCCAAGCACAAAGACGACGTCCCCTCATCCGCCACTGATCATCGTCGCGTCACAACCACCCAAAAACCTGAACAATCCAGTGGCCCAAGTCGAAATGTGCAGTCATTTTCGAAGAACGATGTTATCGAGTTGTCATCTACAGAAGAAGCCGAATTGATACCCAACTCGAAAAAGCCACCCATAGCTCGCTTCGCTAATAAGAAGACAACCTCAAATATAGCACCACAAGAGACTGCAGCTAAACATGTCGTGACTCAATCCTCAGTCGGATCACGCATTCCTACTCCCGCGATACTCCATCCCAGGAAGTCATCCTCAGTCTCTCCCCCTCCAATTTTGCCGCGCCAACCATCATTGTCTCCTGCCGCCCTAGCTCGCTTAGAGATATTTGACCGCATGATGGGCATCGTTTCGGATAAAAGTGACGGAGATCCTTATGCAAATATGGGCGAGAATGCAGACTATGGTACTGCAGATCCTTATGACACACCTCTTAATCCGCCTCTTAAGTTTATAACGCCTCCACCCACGACTGCTACTGCGACAGGTTACAAGAAACCTACCGGCGATTCACCGTTTTCTGGGATTGTCCCAGAGACAGAGTCTTCGCAGTCCCAGCCTTCACTTCCCAACCACATGACGAATGGGAAGCACACCGATCAGCCGTCACCACCCAAACAACCTTCTCTCCCAAAATCTACTTCGAGGAAGGCCCAGGCAGCATCAGCCTTGCCTACCGTCGCTTCAAGCAGTGAAGTGCCATTTCGACCGCGGAAACCACCCACAAAGCCAATTCCACGTATCTCTCCCAAAACCTTTCGTAAGAAGGTTGAATCGCTCACTACAGAACATGATAACGAGCCTCCGATGAGCTCCATTGAAAGCTTCCCATCTCCACGGAAAGATAAGGGAAAGCGGCGATACTCTGGTCCTGACGAATATTCAAGCGACGATGAGCTTGTTCCTGGTGTTACTGATGCGGCACTGCAAGCTAGAGGGAAAGCACTGTATGAGCAGGCTTTGCGCCAGAAGGAGCTTCTCCAAGTTGCCGATAAACAACCTAAGAAAACTATCAATGACCTTGCACGATTACATGCGCCTTTGGCTATGACAAGCAACGGCAAACAGTCGAGATCAGACACTCACCCATTCGCGTCTAACAAGGGAGCTCACGAGGGAGACTTCGAAATCGTTCAGCAGATGGAGGATGCGTATGTTGACCTCAGCGGAGGAAATAGCACGACTATCGACACTTTCACACAAAGTGGGCCCCAAGACAAAGAGGCTCAGTGTATCCTTCTTCGCGAGGAGGACGAGGAATGTACGCAGGAGGCCTTGTTCAGTGGTAATCCAGCACTTGTGGTGCCAAAGGTAGATGTTGTGGAAAAAATTGAAGCGCGACGGCAGGATGTGGCCATTGACGATACAGAGATGGCCAATGATAATGATGGTGTTCAGGTTTGTCGCTAATATATTTTGTTGGCTCCCACCTCATTTCATTTAGCCGCCTCCTGTACCTGCGGAGCCGGGGGGGAATAACCACGAATCGAATCAGCCTTCAACGCATGTAGATGACTTACAAGTTGCCAGTATGATCGCCAACCCAAGTCAGGGTCAGCAGCAAGGCAGGGATGATGAAGATTTTGATACGTCAAATATTAACTTGAACAGTTCACCAACACGTAGTGTACCGCAGCATGATGTATGTATTGCATTGCAGCCCAGCTTCACCGATAGACTAACTAACCCCTTTTGCACAGAGCGACGTGACTGTGAGACGGCTCAATCAGGCACTGTCCGCCCTCCACAAGAAGTCTGACAAGATTCAAGCTTTACAAGTTGCATTGGCACTTGAGCGCGAGAAAACTTCAAAACTCGAAGCCGAGGTAAAGGCGGCCTGCCAGTCCCCAAGCGCGACTACTCGAGAAGGAATCACATCAAACGCTCAGCCCGTGGGCACAATGCACACTAATTCAGCTGTTTCCGAGCTTGCCGACATGAGAGTCAAGTGGAACCAAGAGCGCGAAGTTTGGGAGGCGGGGTGCCGTAATTTGGAAGAGGATATCGTGAGGCTCACCGCTGAGCGAGATCGCTTTGAAACCAAGGCACGCCCGGTTGACGAGCTTAGAGCGGCTTGGGATGCGGACCAGGCGACTTTCCGGCGAGAATGCGAGCTATGGGAGAATGAACGCAAGAAATTGGATCTCCAAGTGGCCGAAATGCTTGGTGAGCGGACCGGATGGGTGGAGGAACGTGATCGTCTTGCTGCTCAGATCAAGTCATTGACGGAGACTTGCGGCACCTTTAAAGCGGCGCGAGCTCAATGGGAACAAGAACAGACAGTTATCACGGCGGAGCGTGCCGCATGGGTATCAGAACGGGAGAATTGGGCACAACAACAGACAGCAAGTGCCCGAGAACGTGCTTTGTGGGACGCCCATCGAGAAGCCATGGAGCTACAAAGTACCAAATGGGAAGCCGATCGTGCTGAATGGGTACGTAGCAAGGAACTTTGGGAATCCGAGCGCGAAAAGTGGTCTGCTGAGCGCGCCTCCATGATCGAGACGCACGAGGCACTTGTTGCGGACGTGACGAAATCAAATTCTTCTTTGGAGGCCCTGACTCGCTCCAAGGGTCTGGCTGAAAAGGACCGCGACTTTTTCCGTGATCAATACACACAGGCTTCTAGTTTCGTGAACATCACCAGAACAGAGAATGTTGAGTTGGAGCAGAAGGCTAAGATTGCAGAAGGTCAGGCACGCGACGGAGTTACTCTGATCAAACACATGTTCGAGGTAATTTATCTTATTGTGTTTGGTTCATCTCTTGACAACGTTGTGATACAGAGTCAGATAAAGGCGCTGAAAGAAGACGTCGATCGATGGAGGGGTGTTTCCGCCCTTCTTCAGGAGAAAGATCGGCGAACAGATGATCTTGTCAGACGGCGTGCTGCCGAACACCCTGAGCTTGTAGAACGATGCCGGCAACTGGAATGTCAAGTTGGCTCCTTGCGTGCTGACCTCATCGAGCTTGGACGTAATCATCAAAAGTCTTCCGTGGAGCACGACAAGATTCAAGATCTGAAACTCTCCGAAGCGCGAGAGCACGATCAGATGCCCAATTTCCATTTGATGAAACTGTCATACACCGAGCTTGAACCAGGTGAAATTGTAGAGCTGAATGGTCTGTCGGATCCAGACACCAGCTCCCTGAGCCAGGTGGACGCTTTAGGAGTTGACGTTAGCCCGGGGGAAGCCGACGAGGACGAGTGTGGGCTGTATCCCTGCAAATGGAAAATTGGCGCCGACATAATCGGCCAATGCCAGCAGTCCTTTGACTGCAGAGAGGTGGGTTCAGTTCTCTAAACCGATTAAGTAAGTTCTCAACGCCAGTATAGGATCTGGATAGGCACATGCGTGACCATCATTATCGCCCTCAACTAGAAGCGAGCGGTCATGTCTGAGTGATGATCGGATCTTATTTTTTTACTGTAAGGGGTATCTGCGTTCTGATCTTTACAAAAGGCAGACAACACATGATAGTTGTTGGGACTCATGTCAAGTCACGATGATATCTGGCGTGACTTTTCATTGCGCCCAAGGAGCGGATCTACGTAGTTCAGATCTTTCAGAGGTGATATAACATTCCTGCTTTTATGATACATTCGTAACTTGTTCGTAACTGCGCCGCACTGTAGCCACTACCACGCCACTCTCTCATACCATATGACCATGGCCAAGATTTTACTCCTCGTCTCGCTCTTTCTGACATTTGCGTTCTCGGTTGTGGGGTTGTCGGTTGTGATCAATGCTCTAGTGAAGTGAGTAAAGACTGTAACTTCCACAAGGACTGAATTGAAGAGTCACAATGAAGGTCCAATCAAGAAGACTCATACATTAGGAGCGTGGCCCCTGATGGCACCATCGTGGATATTAACTATCATGGTAAGGTGCTTGTGAGACACGTAATGGGCTTCTCTGACGCTCGTCTCAAGACATCTACTCGGTTTGCGCTGTCATGGCGGCAGCCTGCGCAGTTTTGACAGTCTTCTCCCTCGTCTCAGCTTTCTCCCAAATTACATCAATCGGGAGAAAACAGCGCCTTGTGCGCCTCCAAGCCTTTCTCATATTGTTTGGCGCCCTATGGCTTTTGGCTACTGTCATCGCGTGTGATGTTCTCTTCGCCACTCGGTCAACCAAAATCACAGCAACTTTCGATGGTGTTGCACTATCTCAAAGTGTCATTCAGCAGTTCGAGCAAAGTATCGGGGTCTCACCTGAATATAGTAAGCAGTGGTACCGTGCGTATTATAAACCAGTTATAGTATTCGATCTCCGTGCTAAACGAAACAAAGTGCGACTATGTGCGATCCTTCCATGGTTCGCAGTCCTTTTCGCAACACTCAGCGGGCTGTTACTTCACAGGGCTGCTAGGAACACCGATGGCTATAGGGACGCGGAGGCAACGGAGTCGGAGAAGATTGAACGAGCCTCTCATGAGCAATAGGCTTGAAACATGGGATGATCATTCATATTCATATAACATTTGGAATCCACTGCACATCTTGTGTTGAATTATAGTTGCTGTAGTATATATACCAACTGGTGCTTAATGACGGCACGCGAATACGACTTATGAATCTACTGCTGGTCCAGAGAGATCTGTATCACGATTTTTCTTCCTCTCACACACCGAATCCTCATCTCCACCTTTGATAGCAGGTGCGAAGTTGGATTTAGGTCCGTTGAACCAGTGCACACCTCCGTATACTGGGCAGTAATACCAGAAAACAGAAAGCGACATGTATCCTCCCAGGACAACGACTGTATAGTTCATTGTCTGGGCATTTATCTGCGCGGTGGAAGGGAAGAAGAAAATAATGATCATGAAGACCATCCACGATACAGCGATCGTAGCAATAGGAAAACTCTGCGCGAGTAAATTAGCAGGAATACCGCGACATTACTACAGCTCGACTGACCAGTCTCCCAAGATTAAATGGGCCAGGTTTGAATTCGTTCTTGAACACAAAGCGAGTCGCGATTGGCGTTATGTAAGAGACGTATGATGCGGTGACAGCAATTGTGAATACTGCGTCGATAGCCTGGGTGCCCGCAAACGCCAAAAGTCCGATTACGAGAGCAAGGGCGGCGTCAAACCAGACTGTATTGACCGGTGTCCTTGTATAGCCATTGATATGGTATAGATACTGTGAAAATGGAAGGGCTCCATCGCGAGTAAATGCAAAGGTCTGGCGAGAGCCGACCAGGAGACAGCTGGACCCCATCATGTACCTGCTCTGCGATTAGTCTACGGGCGTACTGCATGTCGATAAACCGTACTGCACTAAAATAACGAAACACCAGAGAGCTAAGGCTCCACTCTTTCCGAGTGAATTATACAAGATCTGCGCCATGGGCTGGCCTATGGGACTAGTTAGGATGGCGTTAAGGTCAGTGCCCATGCAAAAGGCAAGCGAGACGTTGATTCCTAGATAAGAAAATGACCTCAAAATTATAGCGATGTTGTACATCATTCCACATACCCCAGCCAAGGATGGCTGACATGGCAATGGAACTAATCTAACTGGGGTAAGCTGAATAATCGTTCATTTTCTAGTGTTACTTACAATTGCCCATGGTATCACGGTAGCGGCATTTGAAGCTTCCTCGCTCATATGCACGCTAGAATCATAACCCCCTGGTGGGTTGAGAACGCGAACAGACAATTCAGAATAAGATGTTCTAACCTATTGTATACAGAGGAGCCATTAAGCTCAAAATGAATGCAAACACTGATGGCCAGCCGTCCACTACAATTGATCGTGAGCCACAGTTTTAACTGGCACATAATACATACAACTTGTAAAGCTCCCTAGCGCAAAACTCGCGCTGTTTCGGTATTTTGATGGCGTTGCGATCGGGAGCACAATGATGACTATGAAGCAGAGGCTCCAGGAATGTTCAAAAAACGATCAGAGCCGAATACATAATACTCACCACACATTCAGCAAGATGTATAATCTCTGCAGTCTTGCCAAGAATTTGGTACCGAGGCTAACGAGGATGGCATGTGATAACACCAATACTGCATAAATGCCGCTGGTGACAGACAATCATAAAGGGTGTGATGTCGGGAAGAGGACGGGCTCACTAGAGCTGCTCGTTGGTCGTTGCATACGCTTGGTCAGAGGCGATACCGACTGCTGCAGTGATCTGAAGTGCGCAAGCCCAGTCCACAGAAGCTAGCCCCACGATATCAGAAACAGGTCGTTTGAAGGAATGAAGAGAAATTCTTACCGACTACTGTGATGGACTGTATAGTATTTGAATCTGCGGAGGTCAGCACGGGTTGGATATCATGTCAAACTCAAATATGGAACTTACAACCAACTATCCATGCCAGAAAATTGCGACACCGTGGAGAGGCAAGTGAGTAAGTCCAATAATATAGCTAAACTTTGTTGAGTCAAGTCTGTGACGACGACAGTCTAGGACATACACCACCGGAAGTAGGCGCTGCTGACGCGAGTTCTGCCATTGCTAATCCAATGCACATGATAAAAACACTGGCAATCGCCCACTACGCAGAGGAAGAGTATGAAACTTTATGAGAAAGTACTCTTCGTATATGAATATCAACACTTACCCCCCAGACCATCGCGAGAGGCCCACCATTTTGGACGGCATAGAAGAGCACAGATCTGAGTAGCCTCATCAGTAAACAAGCTAGTATGCTCAATGTGTCGGAGCGGCAGCTTACGCTATAGAAGGGAGTAATCCTATATAGCTGAATGCAACTCCAAACACCTGTACAATGGGTTTGATCACGCGTGTGTTTGAGTCATTGGCAAGCCTACCTCTAGTGGAGTGAATGCCCTGTGAAACTCCTGCTTGTATCCCAACTTGGCAAGAATCTCCTCGGAGTCGTCCGCTTTGGTGGTAAGTGTAACTTGGAGGCTGCAGGAGTCCTTGTAACCATACTAGTAATACGCTATGAGTTGCAGAACTGCAAGGGCAACCGTGACTTTGAACGAGTCGAAGTCTTCAAGCAAGAGCCGAGAATTGCTACCCATGATGTATCAACGTAAGTTGACTTAGTTATACTCATATGGTGGACCGAACAATGGTAAAACCAGGTCCTCGGAAGTGCCAGGGGTCCTAGCGCAGTGGTAGGTTCGCAGTCTGTGAAGTTCATCAGTGAACTGGTGAACAAATTAAAATGACATATATAGTAATATATAGTCAATAATCACAAGCATCGGCATAATTCTGCTATCGACCGTCACATTACCATGTTTGACTTTATAGAGGAAAGAGGCGTTTCTGATGTCCCTAAACCAGCTCGTGATCGGGAAAAAACTCTCGCATTGCTCAAACTCAAACTTTGAGGGCAGGTGGAGCGAACACCGATGAACAAGCAAGATGGATTACAACTGCCATCTTGGAATTACGGGCCACAATGTCGAAACTAGGCATAAAAGCGAGCGCCGTCCAAAAAACGACAATGTGTTTACCGATCAGCGATGATAAATTAATTCCCTGCAAATATCATGGTAGAGCCGAGCGAACCATAGCTGCCATGTTGGAAGTAATATTCTTAACCTGAAAGCTAAGCTGTAAAGCGGGCACCTTCCGAAGAATAACAATGCATTCACCAAGTGAGCGACAATAAATTTGTACCCCGCTTTGAATTTTGACGCCATCTGTTTGAAATGCTTGATGTTTGTAAATCAGAGGACAACTGTCCATGTAACACTGACGAAAAGTGCCTTCCGGAGGGTGACAATATGTTCATCATGCGAGCAACAATTAACTCATGTTCTCCTTGAAATTTTGAGCCACCGTCTTTGGACTTCGAATTTTGGTTAGTCTTTTCTTAGATTAGCGGTCCTCAAAGTTAAAATCGTAGAAATTTCAAGAGGTAAGAAATTTGCGACTTGCCGATAATTAAAACTCCGACGATGACAAATCAAGCTCATATCTTACCACCGCCCATCATCATCGTACCTTACCGTGACCATCATATTGATAACGTTCTGCAACGACATCGGAAGATGCCTCGAGAATCGGATCGCAAAAAACTACTTCGTAGTCTGAAGCAAACGACAAATGACCTTACGATTGCGCGATACATGGAGTTGATTGAATTTATGGTGGATCAGCTCCTCGAGGAGGGCTCTGACAATAGCTCTGATAAGGGATCGGATGGTGATAGTGGGTCAGATGTCAGCATACGGACCGCATCGCCAACATGGCCGGAGTCCCCGACGTCATCCGTCATATCCACGTTGTCCATCAGCTCTCTAGTAACCTCGCTTTCAACAGCATATTCTGATGTCCTATCACTCGATATCCCAGACATG